TAAGGGAGGATCATTGGATAGTCACTGGATGGTTGGAAAGTGGCGGGGGCAGCTCTGCACAAGGGTATCACGGCGAGGGTATGAGGGGCCTCCATTAATAGGAGGATAACAACGGCAAAGGGATGGTGGTGACGAAAATGTCACTGGCAATAGGAGTAACTAAGCCATTGTGAAATCCAGTGGGACGACGGAAAGAGGACGCTCGTGCAGGAGGAAAGAAAGGAGGTTCGTCTTTTGATCACGGCTATGGATAAAGAGAAGAGGGGATACTGCGGCTCCCAAACCGCCTCACATGCCACCCAAAGATCAAAAGTGAGGCAGACACATTACCATCTGCTGAGGGCTCTGTATCTTGCAAGGGGTTGTGGCCGCAGTGGAACCGGCCGCTGAAATGGGGCCGTCGGTTGGTGACCAAAAGGTCGTCAGAAGACAGAGAATAACTACTGAGGGCACTGGCCGTGGAGAAAGAATTGAACTGATGACGACGCCGCGACGAGTGGCATGCAAGAAAATCTCTAACAAACCGACAAATGGGAAGAGTTGTTGATGTTGGAAACAGAATCCTAAAAGGGGCATCGACCCAGTTTGAAGACAGGACACTTGTAGCAGGTTCGACTGTAGCCATTGGCCCGCTTCGCTACCGTCGCACCTTCCCTACACGCCCCACTGCATCTGGGTCCAGAGCCAGAATATCTCCGATGGACGATCCACCCGGTTTTGGCAGGGACCCCTGAAGAAACAAAAGTGGGCGACTCGCCGCCAAACTAGCGGCAGTGTCCTGAATAGGAAAATGTGGCTTACACTGTTGAGTTCCCGTGACGGGAAGGAGGAAGTCAGAGAAGGAAAGAGCGCGCTCTGTACGATATTATGCTCACATGCAAGAGCGTCCTGTGGACCTGCTATTTACGGTAATCATGCCATCGTACTGAGAACGTTAATGTGAGTGTTGTTCCTGTTGGACTGAATATTACCTGTCGGACTCGCACTTACCGACGAAGAAGGAACGTGTGGCGGCAGCGCTTGTTACGCGGCGCTTCAACCTGGTTGTGTTGGTGTACTTTTGCTTGAACATGTATATCTTCTCCCACTCGGTGCTTTGTGTCTCCTCTCATGCCGCGGCGGTTGTGCAGCGCAAAGACCCTGGATGTTCGTTTGGGCTGTTTACCGAAACATAACACTCAAACAGCCGGTCGAGGCTGCGGGTGATGCGATTTGTTGTATCTACGGAAAATAGGAATTGCTGTATCCCTCGGCTTTTCCTAGAACCGGATCTCATCTTCGTTTCTCGTTTCTCGTTTGTTGTTTCTTCTTCGTTTTCCCCCTTACGCTCAAGGTTTCTGTCTTGGCAGCTCCATTTGCGGTTGTTTACCAAGCTGAAGACAAGGAAGTTCTTGGAATCTAGTTGCTAAAATTCGGCCGAATTATTTTATTACAGGATATCACAGTCAAAGCACATCGTCCAAACAGGACTTTACATCTTCTACGCATGAAAACCGCGCCGTCCCTGCCCTGGGTGCGCATGGCTTGACTTGCCTTTTGAAATGAAGGGATTACCCACCGTATGTTATATTAAAGGAGTGGTATTATCCAGTACCTGAAAAGCCAAGGCTTGCCAGCCAAGGGGTCAGCCGTATCCGCACTTGGTACAAGAAGAGCCGGATTCGAGAGCTTGTAGCACATGCTGGATTGCATCATAATCAACCTCACCAAAATGGCTCACCAAGCTCGTAGTTCTACCTCTATGCTAGTGACGATATATCGTTAGGAAATAATAGACAAACATGTGTGTGGCATTCCAGTGTAACATACCAAAAGCAGTCGAAGTTCAGCAGAGGTGTACAGAAGCTCATCTTGGCAAATGTTTCGATTGCCTTCACTTTTGACATTTTGACTTCACTTGGCAGACATTTGCGTTAGCTTTCCACTGGGAACAAATATCATCACGGGTTAAATCATATTGACAGAGTCTTGCGGATTGTCACATATTCTGAGAAAAAGAAAAAGAATTGCATGTAAGCCGGGTGTCTCCAATGTTGTAAGAGCGTCGAGGTTAATTAGGTAGACTTCATGCTACGTGCGCCCCGATAGTCTGCGCGAGTCGTACGAAAGCCCTGACAATCGTATTAATGATCTTGGATACTCATGCTACGGGTCGCAGTAAACAAAAAATAAAAAATGAGAAGTAGTAGAAAGGAAGAAGACAAAAGAAAGAGGTAGGGCTCCAACAATAACACTTTCCTATTTCAGACAGCTTGCGCGACTGTGATTTTGCGCGCCTCGGGTGTATTGCAAACATGGTAGTAAATTATACTTGTCGATTGGGACGCAGGGTTCGAGGCAGTGTAGCAATACTCACGACACAGGCACTCTCTGTTTTAGAGGGTTCGGTACGTCGTATGTCGGGCCTTCCCCCTTGTTGCCAGCGACGTTTCACCCTTTGACCCAAACAGCCAGCACTCTCGTGTTTCAGCATCTCACCATCTCTACTGCCGAAAAGCCCACAATTGGCCACAATCGAAAGCTGTTTGTGCTCAACAGTGGGAAGGCAGAAACAGAATGAACAGGGGCCTGTTTCCGTTGTGTGTCTGTTCCCCTTGCTGCCGGCTGTGGTGGGCCTGGGTGCGGCGCTAGAAACAAACCTCATGTATGGAGTAAGTCGTCGGCGCGTATGCACATTCCCTATCTCCGTCAGGCTTGGCGGACAACGTGTATCGAGTCCGACGACTGTGGGCCAGTAAACCAGCCCAGGCACGGTTGGTCAGGCCCGCAAATTAGCCCGTGTGTGTCCGTGAGAAAAACGGCGATTTTCATCGCGGATCCGTGGTTCACGTTGGGGGATGTGAACGACGGACACAACATACATCTCTGTGTATCTCTGAATCACAGTCCAGGCACGTACTGTCCCTGCATCAGACGCTCGTTACTGCTATCGATTAGCACCGGTAAGCTCTATGTTGAGGCCCATGTTCACTTGTCTGTCTTTACCCTTCTCGCCGGGTACCGGGGCTGCTGGCATTTTGTGTCGTGGAGTGTGAATCGTGTCTGTATCTCCGACTGCTGCCCATACACACCATTCGACCGGGGCGATCTGGTAGATCTTCCAGTGATCATTTATGCGTTCCCAGGATTTACCTCGTAGCAGGTGAAAACGGCACGTTCACGACGCTCGTCGATGGCCTGTGCGCAAGACCCGCCGTGCTTTCTGATTCAGCGGTATGAAGTGAGTATCAGGACAGAAAACAAATCCGAGCACCAAAATATGAACTTGTGAGGTTTTATGACACCACTCGACTCGAGAATATTCAAACTGTGTGACAAAAATAAACATTCAGTTCAAAGTGTATCAGTCAACAGGAACAATCAAAAGGGACAAGGAGAGGAGACAATGGGCATACGTGTGGAATTGCATGGAAAACGAATATTCCAAGTTCATCGTCGTCGTGCAGGTTGCAACATAGTATGTTGAATATGGAACCGGTTATTCGAATCAAACAAAACGTAAAAAAGGATGCACGTAAAAAAGCAAAGCCAATTAAAATACATCTCCAAACTAACAAGTCAACAGTTCGACGTACGGTGACAGTGCTGGAATGTTCAAAACGTAGCACAAAACCGGTGCATGACATGGCATGTCCAGTCAGCTTCGGGACGACGTATCACTGGCTGTGTCTGCTTTGACTGTATGGAACGACACGAAGAAATACGGGAGTAATTAGCTGGCGCGACGCCTTGCGGTGTTGGACCCTATTTGCCCGTAGCCTGACGGCCCAGCTCTTTCCGTTTCAAATTTCGGCGGATGGCGCTAAACGAAACTGAGAATTTTCACTTTTTTTTACTTTACAAAAAAAGTGAAGAAAATTGACCCAAAGGCTCCGTAATACGCGCAGCCAACCTTCCGCTGGGCCAATAATGCCCGGCCAGCCAATCATGCCACTGGTTCGACCGTTCCCCATCCCAAAAAGGGTGAGGGTCCACGCCGAAACTCTCGGGCTCCCTCCCGTCGCACCTTCCCAGCCACTCATTATTTCACATCCTTTTCAAAACGCTGGAGCTCCTTCCTCCCCTCCTTGTCTCGTGGCCTCGTTCGACTTCTTTTCCGTCGTCGTTTTTGCAAGGTGTATTCTTGCATTTCCCTCTCATTGTTACCTTGGAAATAGTGAGGATCATAGGACGGGCTTCCTTCGAGTGGAAACGGCTGGTTTTGTTCTTCCATCTGGTTGACTAGTCTCCATTTATTGGGCCCTCATTACACTGTTGTCCATCCAAACCTCCGTTTTGCCCTGCTTTATCTCTTATTTTGACTTTTGAGCCCAGCCATCTGGGCGGTTCCTTGTTCTTTTTCTCGCCATCTCTTTCCTTATATCTTATTACCGTTTGGAAGGCAGTAGGCGCGATACAGGAAGAAGCACCCGCGAGCCACGGTCCGTCGTCCACGAAGAACCCTCGCAAGCATTACGGAGCTGACGACACCTTCGCTCTTTCCCCAGAAGCGCTATTCTTGCAATCTTAACCTCGTATCAACCCCGGTCCTTCCGTTCCGCGTTCTCCGTCGCCCTCTTCGTTGTATTACCGTGTCGCTGCTACAGATTCGTTTACGCTGCCCGCGTTCCCCCTTTCGCCCACTGTCGCACGGCACCCCTTCCCTCCGTCTTCCATTTCCCTCTTTCCTATTCGTTTCCCTCCGTTTGCATCACTAGTTGCCGTTCTCCTTTCCCCAAACCATAGTCTACCCAGCTCTTCCGTTGTCTCTTCCACCACCCCCACGGTCGCCGCTCCGTCTCAAATCGCCACCACTACGACCTTCACGGCCTCGTCCGTATTGCACCCTGCACGTCGCTCCAACGCTATTTGTGCATACTGGTGTCGAGCATACTTCGCGCCGAAACGTGCTCACGGCTAGACCAAAAGGGCAGTAAACATCGACAACCTACGCGCCGTCGCCCTCGACCACCACCACGTCGATTGTCTTTCACGGAACGTCGCCGACCATGTCGGAGGACGAGTCGCCAAGGACCGACGCGCACGCCTCTGTGCCGACCGCGCTCCTACCATGGCAGAAGAAGCCCCGGTTCAGCTGGACGCCAGCCTACGAGACGACTTTTTTCCAGTCGCTCTGCCAGTCTGTTCAGCTGGGCCTTCGCGAGAACATGAGCTTCAAGCCCGAGGCTTGGAACCGCGCGCTGGCCATGCTGCGCGAACAAGGCGCGTATCCGACAAAGCAGCATTTGATCAACAAGACGGACAATGCGCGCAAAAAGTTTCGCCTGTGGCGCGGCCTTATGGAGAACCCACAGTTTACGTTTGACCCGACCACGCGCATAATTAAAGGAAGCGACGACGCATGGACGAGCCATCTGGAGGTAAGAAAACAGCTGTGTGTGGACAGACCTCGGGGGGATTTGTCTGCAGCCCACTAACCGTGTATTTTGTGCCCGTCGCATAGAAAGAGCCTCTCGCCCGCGCGCTTCGCGAGCGCCCTTTTGAAAATGCCGAGTATCTCGAGATCCTGTTCCCCGATGTCGTCGGTTCCGGCGGTCAGCCCAAGCGCGTCACGAAGCCCCGCAGAAAGGGCCCTGACAATATCCCGGGCGGCGAGGCACCACCGGGCACGAGCATCATGCGCCTTGCAAACGGCCCAGTCGTTGGCAGCAACACAGGGGCGACACCCCAGCGGAACAACTCCAGCGCTATCGTCCCGACCGTCAACTCTACGCCAGTTCCTGTTCCGACAGGCGCCACTCCCCAGTCGCGCCAGCAGGGCAACGCCAACTCCGCACAGAACAGTGCGAGCGCACAACAAATACGCCCGACGCTGCAGAGCACACCGAACACAGCTACACAGTCCGCGTCCGCGTCGAACTCGGCGATCCAGCCGCCACCAGCCCCGACCCAAGCAGGCGGGTTGCGACAGACAGGGGTAGGTGCCATTGGTCGCGCAGGCAATGCGGCGGCCTTAACACCCCCGGATGAACCCAATGGCAACAGGAACAGTAACAATGCGGTTGGCCAGGGCCAGAAACGTTTCGCGCCCGGTGGCGACAGCAACACACCGGCGGCAACGACGGCAGCATCCAAACGGAGGCGCACCGACGGCAGCGGCAACGCCAACAGCGCAGCGGCCCGGAACCGCGCCGAATCGCAAGCAAATGCAGCTGCCGCTGCGTCAGCCACGGCCGCCGCCACGGCTGCTGGTCAGACCCCGGCTGGGTCGCGGCTGTCGTCGTTTAGCGATGCCATCATTCCCCTTGGCACCGGCCGGCAGAGCTCCGGCAGCGGCGCCAGTAACAACAGCGCACGTGCAGACGGCATCACTAACCTTCTGGGCGATGTTCTGTCCAAGTACGCCGCCGCTGCAACCCTCGCGTCGACCACACGATGGCCTGAGCAGGCCATGGAGATTTTTTTCTTGGAGTTTGCCGATGAGGATATGGATCTGCAGCTTCGCATCGCTGAGAAGATCTTGACCGACACGAGCAAGGCCGTAATGTTCTGCAAGATGCCAGCCACGCTACGGAAGCACTGGGTGAAGCGACTGCGCGAGGCCATCAGCCGCCAGGGCAACTAACCGATTGGCTGCATGCGACAACTCTGTTCTCCTTACATTCTTCGCCATATTTGAACCTATATCCGGTGACTCCTCACTTCCTGGCATTGTTTGTCTCCTTTAGCGTTCGTTCGGGATCATCCGTTCTAGTCGTCTGCGTTTTTTCGTCCTGGGTTTCCCCGCATCTCTATTCTTTTTACATTCTCGAACATTGTTGTTGCGATATCGATGCATATGAGGCTTTGTTGGCGATCATTCATGATACACATCTTGCGAATCTTGCGAATGCTCCGTTTGTTTTGCAATATTGCTTAGACGGGTTGGGCGTGAACGGGATGTCGCGCCTTGTTTCACCTATTTTTTGTACATTTGTCCGGTTATCAGGTCTTTTTTCCCCCCAATATTGAGGCATGGTGTGTCCTTCATCCCCAATGTATAGTAAAACGTTGTTCAGAGCGAGCAAAATATAAAATGCACAAATTTTATTAGAAATAGAGTGGAATGATCTCCGACAAACAATACGCAACCTAAGTGATTCCAGGCAAAACAGAAATGAATGAATAAAATGCGCAAGGAAAAGGACCCTATCCATTCCAACCCTGAATACCGCCGTGACCAGAGCATGCAAGACTGTTCAAAATAGACGACCCAAAGGAAAATTCAACAGCAAAAATGCAGCGAGCTCGCCAATAAACTCGGCCTCAGAACGTCAATCCTCCCTGCAGTTCACCTACGCAGATAACTACTGCTTCTTGCTCTGTCCCTTGTAGAAATAGCTGGATGGAGATTAGTACACGGACGCAGTCAAAAGGTGAAACGAAAAAAAAAGAAGAAAAAGAAAAAAGAAAATAAGATGGAAGACTGTCGACTCACTTTGCGAGTGTGCTCTCCACGATGCCAACGGCGCCCACCACGGCCAGACCCGTTGCTGTGCTCTTCCAGTCCAGGCGGCCCTGCTCATGCAGGCCCCAGGCGCGGAAGCCCAGGAATGCGCCCAGACCGACAACGGCCACGAGGTTGCCAGCCACAGCCACCTTTGTCGCGGCGGGATGGTCCGACTCCAGGATGGAAAACTGCTTTGTCAGCCAGTTGTCGGCGCGCTTGGCCTGCACCTCGGCCTCGTGGGCCGTGTCGCTGGCCTGCTTCTGGGCCTTGCCAGCGGCCTTTTTCGCCTTCTCCTTTGCGTTCTTGGCAGCGCTCGAGACTTTGGCCTTTTGCGACTCAAAGTCACGGGAAAGACCCTTTGCGTCCGTCTTCACCGAATCGGCCACGTCCTGTGCCTCAGAAGACACGGTCTGCAGATCCGGGGTGTCGACATCGGGGAATGACGTGGTAGAGGCGTTCGACTCGGTGTTCTCGACCTCGGGAAGTTGCGGCGCCGCAGCCTTTAGGGGGTTGGATATGTGAGCTGGCAATACTTGACAAAAAAGACAAGAAAAGGAAAGAATACAAAGCTAGACTGGAACGCCCTAGACGCCAATGTCCAATATTCCACTGAAAAACACGCAGAAAGTGTGGCTACATACCTCTTCGGGGGTCTGCTTGGGGCCTTTGGAAGCGATGTCTGCGTACGACACTGTATGAGGGTGAAGAAAAAGTTAGCAAATATATCAAGAAAGAAAAGGATGCCGTGGGGAATCTGATGGCGGCAGGTTTGCCAATCGCCACGGGAAGAGAGCGAAGCGCTGTACAAAGCGGTAGCTGACATCGCGTACTTTTGCGGATAAGAAAGAATGCGCGGTGGCAGCTAGGAATTATGTGCAGAGAAAGTGTATGCGAGAGACAGAAGCCTGACTGTGAGAAGAATCAAAAATGAAAAAGCGATTCGGTGTTTTGATTAAGCTGCAATGGTTGTGAGAGAAGATGAAGCTAGATGCGGGACAAGGAAGAAGTTGGGGCGAGCTTAGTTTTTATTGTCATTTGATCGTCGGGAGGGGCACAAAAGAAGGAAGAACGAAGAAGGAGAAAGCACAGCGCATGCATGACAGAATAAGCAGTCGCCAAATGGCCTGGTTCTGGCCCTGGTCTGGCTTCTGGCCGCCTGTGGATTGGCGTCTTGCTATGGCGCCCAGATGGTGACTTCACACCCGTTCTCCTGGGCGTGCGTAGGTGGGGTTAGATCGACGAGGGCGCGAGTTTGGCGTGTATTTATTTTTCTACAGGAAAGAACCCTACGAACCCGACGATTGAGCATTTCTGGTCTTTGTCGCGGCAAGAGCAGATGTAATCAAAGACAGTCCCTGGCGGCCAAAGACGAAAAATATGGAAAGAGCTATTGGCCAAATGCGAGACTAAAGCGAAAGCCCGAATGATTGCAAAAGAAAGAAGGCACGAACGACGAGCTGAGTGGGCGATGACAGGAGCGAATGGCGGACCTTGAATGGAGCTGCTGGGCGATGACGTCGTTCTGCGCGAAGAATCGCAAAATCTGCTATGAGAATGGGTCCTTACGTGGACACAGGCCTCCGAGGCCAGGGCGGGTCCTGAGATCGACTGTTTCCGTCGCAGCATGTGCTCCGAGCAGATCGACTTTCGAAAAAGGAGCCAGCACTGCTTGTGGGTCTCACGTGACATCCAGCAAAAAATGCATGTGATCTATCACATGGTACACTTACCAACCGTTCATTGTTGGCGAAGAAAATATGCTGCACTCTGATTGGACAAAGCAACCTCACTTACACGATCAAAACAGAGGCAATATCATATGAAGAAAATTCAACAAAACAACAACGCAATAAATGTTCATAATGTCTATTGTCTTTGGATAAAATTAGTGAGGGCTTTTAATACCGTACGGAAACTTATATCTTAATAATTCATTCCACAAATAGATGGCTCTTTCGAAATATCAAAGTATTCAAGCAAATATTCAAATGTGCACTTTAGGGCATCATAATGAAATAGAATAGAGTCATCTTAATCATGCTGTCGACTTTAGAGAGAAAGAGAGAGAAAGATCTGGGATTGTCTTTATGTACGTCCGCATCGTCAGCCGACAGGTATGTGGAAACACGTCGAAAGTAAAATCATGTGCTTAATTTGGCGTCATCGAGTTTGGGGCTGATGAAAAATGGCTGCGTGGAAGCGTTGCTGAGTATATACAGACAGAATCATCATGGCATTAGTAGACTTCGACGTCACCATGCAAACTCTGATCACGGGTCGATGCTGAGTCCGCTTCAGCCCATTTCGTCCTCAACCAGGTATATATATCTGGCCTTCCTCCCTACTTTTCGACCATTTCGATTTTGAAACTTAACCCTTAACAAACTTTTTTTTCTTTCTGATCGAGTCCAAAAGCTTCATCAGACCTTCCTGCTTCTATCACATACTGTGACTGAACCAGCCCACAAAAGTTTATTTGCAAAGCTCAAACCGTTCCTTTCACATTCGGTGCTCGTTCCACAGGACTGTCTATTTCCAAATTGTTCAAAATGGCTTTCCAGGACTTTTTGACCAACATGGACGACACGTTTGACGTGGCCGAGCCCAATGAGAAGGAGTGTCACGATGACACCATGGAGCACCTTTGCAGACGCGCTCGCAAGCACGCTGAGCTCTGGGCTTGCGATGTCTGCGAGCTGCTTCACGAAATCGACATGAACGACGTTCCTCTGTCGTCGGGCATGGATGCCGTCTATGGTGAAGACCACAAGGCCAAGATGGCTCAAGCTGGCCACGAAACCATGACGCACCATTCCGGGATCAGTCACCACCAGATCCAAATGGCGCTTAAGCTTACTCGCCTTGTCCAGACTGGCCGCGCCAGCAGCTTCAAGGATTACCTTAGCAAGCTGACTGAGGCCTACGCCATGACGGACAAGGTGACTATGCGCCGCACCTCAGCAATTTCTCTGACTCCTCGCATTGACGGGCTTCCCAACTCGTTCACGCCCAAAATTGCAAAGGATCAGAATGACAGTCTGCACTTCCTCCTCCAGACGCTCTACCAGCTGGACGCTAGTCAGAACTCTGTGTGCATCAATGTGTGCCCTCACATTCAGATCACAAAGGAGCAGATCCTGTCCAAGAAAAACAGCTGTGGTCGCTGCAAGCACTGTGCCACCAGCTACGTGTCCAGCGCCACCCAAGTCCGTGTCTTTCATGACTTTGGCTCCGAGTCTAGCCCTGCCGACCTTTCGTGGCAGGCGCACCTCAAGTCACATGTCAAGAAGCAGGGCTCGGATCACGTTCGCTTTGGCCAGAACAAGCAGTCTATGGAGTCGCTCTTTGGCGAGACCATGCAAAAGGGATCTGCCCTGAGCGCTCCTCAGGAGAAGCGCTCGCACAAGGTGCACTCTGTTTTGCACAAGATGAAAACGGCTATGAAGCCAGCGCTGTCTTTTGACTTTTAAGTCGGAGCAGCACCAAAAAAAAGTCTTGTTTCCTGTTGTTGCGATAGTTTTGATACCCCCAGAATGTCTATTAGCTTTAGTTGAGTAGGTTTTTTTCAGTTAAATTGATCGTCTTCAACTTTGCCAAACAATAACATGCCCATAATGCAACGTAGATAAATGCAAATGAACGCGGCAAAGTAAGCAATCAAGAGAGGGATCGTCTATATTTCAGGTATCTACATTCTCTTTTATGTGTGGCATTATTGTTCTGGCGGCAGTATACATTATACACGAGTGTACACAACAATGGAATGAGAAAGGAGGTTGTGGCAGCTTTAAGCTGTCCTAATGAACCATACAGAAACATGAAAGATGCCGACTGTGCTCCGTCGTTCATCCATGTTATTATCATAGTTTATTTTTTTCGTGGCCCATTTTCAAACTCATAACCACGACCGCTGTTCGCCACCCTGCGTTTGGTTTCGTCTAGTGTTGTACAAGTGGTGACCGTTCTTCCATTCGGCTCGTTGTTGCCTCTTTAGTTCTTGTTGGCGCCGGTCGCATCGAAAGCGGCCGTGGGCACGAGGCCATCGTCAACAGCCTCGGCAGGTTTTTGTTCCGTCTTCGCAAATTGGTTGGCCTCGGCTTGCACGACGTCGTCTTTGGGAGCTTCAGCGGCCACCGCCGGGCCGGTCGATGCTGCCGGTGCGTTGTTCTCAGCGGCGGCATCGCTCTTGGTAGTCGGGTTGGTCTCTGTGGGTGCTGCTTCGAACTGCGCAGTCGTCACATCGGCAGGCTTGGGCTGCAGCTGGGACTCGGATGCTGCAGCGCCCTCGGGAACGCCTTCGACATGGCCGGGCCGCTGCTGGTCGTCGGGACCCGCGTTATCGGCGTCCTGCTCTTCGTCCGCGAGTTCCGCGCCGTAGATCTCAGGGTACTTGCGGAAGCAGTCCTGCATGTGCCTATTGTCTGGTTAGCAATGTGATCTCGGAAGCAATCGGATGTGAGCGAGCTGCGGAACGACATACTGGAACTTCTCGATGCAGTCCATGCCCTTGGGTTCTTCGGTCGAGAAAACGAAGCAGCTGAACGCCGCCTTAAAGTCCTCGCCGCACGGGCCGTCGGCCATGCCGCCGAGACACGGGCAGTCCCAGTTGATCTCGCCAGTCTCCGGGTTGAACGCGCCCTGCTGGCTAGCCTCCTCCTCCAGAGCCTCGGGAGAACCGTCGCCCACAACCGCCGCACCCTCGCCACCGGGAGCCGGAGGTATCGATTTGGAGGACGTGGTCTCTGCTGTGTCTGCCTTCTTGCTCTTCGCTGCCGCCGCTGCAGACTTCTCCGCCTCGGCCCGCTGCTTCTCTTCTAGTAGGGAGTCGATGGTGCGGAACTCAGAGTCCTGGGGAGCAATCGCGGCAGCGTCGGCAGATGTCGTCGTCGATGTCGATCTGCTCCTGAGGGAGTTGTGGCGCGCCGCTTCGTCGGCAAAGATCGGGCTCGTGGTGTACCAGTACAGGGCGCCGGCGGCCACGCTCCATCGGGCCACGGTGCCCTTCCACGTGCCATTGCTGCTAGCCGCCGTTGAAGCAAACCGCCGGGGGGCGCCGGACACGGTTGGGTGGCGGATGGTGCGGGCGAGTTGCGCCGAGGAACGTAATGATGCGCGATACATTGTGACCAGTTGTGTGGAATAGGAAGGGCAGGGGAATAGTGTACAAGAAGAGAAGTCGAAAGAAAATAATGAGAACGAAATTGAAAGTAAAAGGAGAAACGATGCGCGCAAATGCCGGAACAAAAGGAAAGGTGAAAAGAGGGAAGAGGCAATGTCACGTTTTCGAGAACGCAGCGTCGATGTGAAAATGGTGAGTGAACAGACTGAGCGAGCTATTTCGAAAAATTTACAGAGCCGAATTGGTCAGCATAAAGGCCGAAACTAAAGCATACAGTGCTGCGTTTCCGCCGTCATCCGGGCGGATGATTGGCTGGCTGAGAGCTAAGATTTTGGCGACCGTGAAGAAATGTATTGTCGCGTGGAAAGGGCGGAAGGCGGACGACGTAATGCACCGCACGTCCGACTGTTACGACAGTTACTTTTATTTACTGTTCTCCTTTGTCAAATATTTACTACAAGATATGATCTTATTTTTGCGAATTTTTTGAAATTTAACCGATGGCTGCACAGTATGCTCGTTCTTCCAAATTTCAGCTACCATGAAATTCTCATTTGCGAAACTGAATAATCACCTATTTCCAAAGTCCCGCCTAGAAGGTCGAAGGTGACAGTGCGTGATACCTGGCCATAAAGGGGATCTCTCAAGCTTCCACTCCGAAGCACCAACCTCTACGAAGCAACCCACACTATCTTAGCTAAGTCTACATTGGGCTTCTTTCGTCGATTGCTACACAGCGTCTTCCGACCCCGCGAGAATGGCTTCCATATCTGCTCCGCCAAACACACCGGTCTTTGACTGGTTTCCAGCCCGGCTTCTCCAAAGCAATCCTCGCAGCGCAGCAAATCCGTATGCTGCCGTCATCCTCAACCAGCCATTAACGAGCCTGGGACCAGCCCAGCGCGTATGGCGGCGTGGTACGTCTGACCATGAAAGAGACGGTATCCTGCCGTCTTGGTGCTGGTCACCAAGTCTAACATTCTCGCAGCACAATTCCGAGTAGCCGCAGACGGAGGCGCAAACCAGCTGCACGACGTAGCGGAGACGGCAGGACAAGATTTTGTGAGTGTTGGTAGTTGCATTTGCTACCCTGCTCTTCCTGCTCTTTGTCGTTTATGGGCATCTCGTAGTTTGCTGACGTCCCACCCAGAAAGACCTGGACGTCATTATCGGTGACCTTGACTCACTTCGCCCAGAGGTCCAACAGTACTTTGAGACCGAGACAGCCGGCCATAAGACAGAAATTATCCATGATACCGACCAGTACTCGACCGACTTCACGAAAGCTGTGAAACTTGTCCAGGACCGGCATCCGGGCATCGACGTCGTTGCCCTGGGCGGACTCGGCGGCCGCGTGGACCAAGGCGTCAGCCAGCTCCACCACCTCTATCTATTTAGCGAGCGGCGACGAGATGCGACTAGTGAGAAGTACCGCATCGGCTGGTCGGACGAGACTGCCCCTCATGGCAGCACATTCCTATTGACAAGCGACAGCCTGACATTTTTGTTGTTGCCCGGCCTCCACCGGATCCACGTCCGCGATCGGCTCGGCGGTGGCGGCGATGGCGGCAACGGCGAGCCGTCTGAGGATGTATTTGCAAAATACGTTGGAATTCTACCTATGCAAGGTCCCAGTGTCATCTCCACGTCTGGTCTGGAATGGGACATTACGGACTGGCCGACGGAGTTTGGCGGGCATATGTCGACAAGCAACCACGTCCTGCCAGAAACGGAGGTCGTTGAGGTGCTGACAAACCGGTCTGTTGTCTTTACGATAGCTCTAAAGGAAGAGTGGCAGGGCAAGTAGCTGCCTTTTTTGGTTTGTTTGTAAAGCGTTTATTAGCTTTTGTGTCGTTTGTGATCAATTAGGTTATTTATTATTTGTGCGTTTTTAGCGGACATGGTCGACTTGGTTAGAATGCCGAAACAGAAATCGTTTCTGCCTGATAATGTATAGAAGAGTGTCCTCCCAAACAATGATAAATTTGTACATATGCCCTATAAAATCAGGACGACCAAGGCAGAAAACGCCGCGCTGAAAGACCACCGGAAACATGAATGCCGTAACGTAACGCAAATAATTTCCCACCAGTTTTCTTTGCCCCAAACCACCCGGTATCACAAGAGTCCTCACCGTAAGTAGTGCAAGCAAAGCCAGCAGAAGAGCACAAATACTACGACACCAGCCCAGAAGATCCACTTGTCTTCGCGTGCCCGCCGTTCGATCATGCGAATCGTGTCGCCGCTGATGCCCAGTGTGTTTGCCACGGTGTACATGCGTTTCTGTGTGTTTTTGAGCATATCCCGCTGGTTGCCCAGGTCGCCCAGGACCGCCTGACCCCGCGCAATGTACTCGTCCAGCGCCGTGTTCGTGCTGGCAAAGAAGCTCTGCTCGCGCAGCGCGTGCGCCTCGCGCTGGTCCTCGGCCGTGCTCATCGTCCTGGAGTGGCCGGCACCACCGGCACCGCCATAGCTGTGGCTGCCGCTCGCTGTTGCCGTTGCCGACGTTGTTGCGTACGGGTTCTCGGGCGTTCCTGCTGCGTATGGCCGACGCCCCAGTAGCTCGGTGCGGTTCGACTGGTGCGCGGCCTCCTCGCGTGCGGCTTTCAAGCTGTCAAACTGCGCGCGGAACTCGCCGAGCTCGGTCTGGAAATTGCGGATGCGGTCAAATGCCTTTTCTTGTTTTGCCGGGTTGAGTTCCTGCTTGGCGAGTGCATTGTATTCGTCGACGGTGCGTGCAAAGGCAGTCAAGCTGGCGGACAGCGCGCCAACCGTGGCTGCAGATACAGGCTGCTGCAGATGTTGTTGTGGTGGTGCAGACGGGTCGGCGCCGAGTGCTGCGGAGAAGGAGGAGAGGTCTTTGCGGATGGATGTGCTCTGCTTGAGCGCGCTGTTGAATGCGGTGTTCTGAAGACGAATATTAGAATCATGGACATCCTAAAACAGGCAAAGAGGGTCGCGTAGGATCCAGCTTTACCATTATGACAAAGTCGTTACCGTCGATGGACGGGTCGCGTGAGGAAATGGGATGCGATAAAAGAAAGGGGTCGGAAATGTATTGCACAAGGCGCGTTGGCGTCGTTATTGTCTTCTTTTTCTGCCTCGAAACCGCTGACCACCATGTAAATATTGGTAGTGTCGGTTGCCGCTGGGAGGTTGTCGATCTGTTTTTTGCTTTTTGCCTTTCCCGTTTATTTTGCTGTTTGGTGAACGTATGGGGGTTCTGACGTAGTCGAAGTTTCGTCGTTTTCTGTGTTCTGGCCTTTTAGGAGGCAATCGTGGCTTAATCCCTTGGATGGCAAGAGCTCTTGTCGTCCCAGTTTTGTGGGCCTGGTTTCTGCCAGGGTAGCTTGGCTCGGCCATATTGACCGCCTTCCCTACATACTGACAATTTAGGTCACGTGACAATTTAGTTATTACACATGAAGGTGACGTCGATTCTTCAATGTCGCGAGATAACATTGACCTCTTATGTCTCATAAGCCTTGGTCGCCCCTTGTTGTGGTCGTCTTCTTTTTTTATGTATTCGTGTTCTATTGCCTAGATTTCAGTACAGGCCTAGACAAAAGCTGTTATTGGTGCTGCGGATCGAGGAGTGTTCCCAGTGTGTGAAGTATATCAAGCCAACGACGATGCCGAACAACCAGATGACAGCGTTGCCATAGGTTTCTGCTCGCAGAAACAATTAGAGCGTTCGCATCAGGAACAGCTGGTGTTGCTTTCAGAACCATGTGCAGTGGAAATCATCTCTCCGTATTGACGCTTTTTAGTGCTATCCTCTGTCTAATAATTGCCTATTATGGACTAGCTAACTAAGCATCTACTCCTCTTGATTCGCACCTTCCGGTGGTCATTTTGTGTCCTATGGGCAAGAAGCACGTGTGATACAACAAAGCCATCAATAACAAAAAGGGAAGAAGATGGAACGTATTTATGTTTTAAATTTTCGACAACAAACGAAGCATTCACTGTCGCCTTTTCGCCACAACCAGCAACCTGGGCCACCACTGGACAGAAGACGAGGTCAGAGCATTAGAGAATAACAGGCTCAAAGCTCAAATCAGTCCCTCGAGAAAGATCAATACAGGAAGCGTCAGAACTACTATGGAGAGCCGCACGACAGATTGAGGTGGAAGACTGAAGTGTTTCATTCTCTTGCGGGGAGCTCGTAGCCAGTCCCCAGGCGGATCCAGCTTCCGGATGATCCAGACGCGGAAGCCGCTTGGCTTGTCTTTGACGGGCGGGCTGAGCCATGGCCGGCCTACCTAGGTGGGAGGGGCCGGTAGGCGTTCCAAGACACTTCATACTCCTCCCGGACACAGTGATTATGTCTTGGCAAGACGAGGCTGTCCTGTGCCTAGTGGACGTCTGGAGAGATTCAGCCAGGGGCAGGATGGTTCTTCTCTTGCTTCCATTTCTTCTATTTAAGAGAATGGTCTCGTCGACAATCTGCGCTTTAAACTTTGACTTTCACACCATCTCTTTTCATACTCCGCACAAAAGCCTTTGATTTCTCTGCCGACCTCTATTTTCATTCCTTGCTCTCTCCTTCTCAATGTAACCACTTCCATATTCAACACCAACCATAAAGAGTACGAGTCCTAACTGCTCCGAGTATTCAAAACCATATAGAGCAACATGGACGGCTCCACCGCCAAGCCTCTTGACTACCTACAGGTGCTGGATGAAAGTGACCGGAATATATTTTTCTTCATCCTCGGTATGTTCTCATTATTTTCAAACAAATGTTATACCTTCACGCAGAGAGAGTTACATTATATCGCAAACTAAAACTATTCCTCGCCAAAATTAGACTGCATCACAGACCATCTTATCTATCACGGGGAGCTTCCTTCCAAGAGCTTCCTTGAAAGCCTCACTGGCAAAACACACATCACAGACTACGTTGCGGCTTACGCTGGTCAGCAAGACCAAAGCACGCTACGCAAGAGCGTTGCTGCCCTGCAAGCGTGGAAGCCCATTTTCTTGGCTATACCACCAGGCCAGGCCACTGGTCATCGCATCTCTAAGTCGCTTTCGGCCAATAAAGGAACGGATGCTCCGCTCAATGGTGCCACTCTTCTCGATGGACGTGCTGTAGACTGGCCCACTCGACTTAAGGAAAAGAGCGAAACCTACTATAGCGACACGAGCGGCCCCCTCATCCGCAGCTACTACGAGGCCCGTCAAATACGTGCCGAGTACGGCAGCCGTGATTTCAGGTCGGTGCCGCCAGAGCGTTGGTCTGACTTTCCGACTTCCATCGAAGAGCAGCAAAAGCTCGTATGCAAACTCTATGATGCTATTCTCAACATGAATGGCATCCTAGAAAAGAAGCGGCCATTGTCCTTGAAGAGCTCGAGCAGCGACGATAGCGGCGATGATGGTGATGTTGACTCCAGTACCCCTGCTACGTCACGGAAGCGATCGGCCACAGAGAGAGACGAGGACGGCGGCAATACTAAGGATGCGGCCGAAGCCAATACTCCACAAATGAAAATGGTCTCTCCCAAGAAACCCGTTCCGCCACAAAAGGAAACAATTAGTGTTTCCAAGGTGAAGGGTCTCAACCGCATCGAGGTCGAGATGCTCTCCTGGGAAATTTTGGTATGGACAAGCCTCCTCGAAATGCTGGATTCTCACATATGTGGTGGCGACTAACACCTTACTTTTTTAGTACGCAATCCGCGATATCGACCGTGGCCAACTACCTTTTATGAATTGGAGTGGCCGCGACTGGAGCTGGGACTCCCAGTTCACTAGCTTCAATGACCGGTTTGAGGCTGTTGCTACGACTCTACGCCGTTCGAAGGCGGCCGTCTGTAGCCTGCTCGAGTCTGATTACATGGCCCGGCTGGTGGCACACCCACGCAGGGAGTATCGCCGAAAGGAGAACAATCGTTCCCAGAACGCGGAACGCAATGCACAGGTGTTTGTCGGTCGACATGCCATTGGAACGGGCCAAGTACAAGTTGGCTCATCGGGTGATTTGCGGGACCGTGACGGCAACGTGGTTGCTGCCGCTGGAACCGCCCACAGTGGCTTGATCGAGCAGACACGCAAGCTTGGCGAGATGAGCCGGCGGAGTCATGCTGCAAAGAAGGCGAAGACGACAGCTGGAAATGCCACAACATCTCTCGAGAACGATACTGCTGGCGAACCCTCAGGAACTGCGGCTGCGAATGGCTCTCCGCCACTGTCCTCCCAGAGAAAGCCCCGCGTCCGGAACCGGAAGCTCGCAGCCAAGACAGAGACCTCCACTACAGAGCAGTCTACATTCGGAACATCCGAAAGTACCGTTGCCGACGATGCGAGCCAGGGCCAAGGCCAGAATTCGTCGACGAATTCGAATATGAGTGTGAGCTCGGCCGTGCCTAAAGTGGCAACGATACAAAACGGACCTGGATTCACCCCGATGGCGCCCACTCCTTTCTCCTGGCCTCAAGAAAATGGCAACACTACAATAGCCGTAGCTACCCCCGTGGCTCCGTTTGATACCCTAGTTACTTGGCCGCCTGTAAACCAAGGCTTGATTTCTAACGGCCAAGTATCTTTCCATCCAGGAAACAACCACAGCAGTGCTGCTTTTCACGTTGACGGCTCATTCATGGGCGGCGGCGCGAGTAGTAATGAGTTCCCGTCGGTGGCCAGCGGCTTTGCGGTACTCAATACAAATGCACGGCTCAACAATCTCAACATCATTGGAACGAATACGTTGACACTTCCGTTTCGCCCAGCCGCTGGTGAAAGCAATACTCAGCTGCCGGCAGCCGTAAACAACGGAAGCCGCCCCGGATCAGATCAAGACGCGGCTGCTATGGTCTCTGATGCTCCCATGGAAGATATTTTCAGCATGGAAGTCGGAGTCACCACAGGTGTCACTGGAAGAGATGCCACCGTGGGAGGTCATAGTAGCAATGCTGCTACTAACCCAGCGATAGCCCCGTCCCAGCTGACTGTGGCGGAACCGCCGATGCTGAACCCCATAGCATCACCATGGGGTACCGACGAGCATATGAGTCTTCTCTACCAGATGGCGCTGTACAACAACTCCATTCAGAACATTCTGGGCGCCAACTGTACGCCAATACCGAACTTGGCCTCGTCCGCAGCCATATCTGGTGATTCAGGTCTCGACACGAGCATGTACACTATCCCTGATGACTCGTGGGCTGTCAATTACGATACTGACTCTCCCGAACTTGGCGACGATGGTAACTCGAGCCACAAAGAGAATGGTAGGAATCACTGAATATGGGCCTTTACTTTGTGGATCAGGTCTTAATTACGGTCTTTGGAATATTTCACTTTGTAAGGAGGTATTGCATGGTCGGTTTACTGCTCTCAGATCGATTGAAAGATGCAGAAAGCGTGCTTCTGGTGTTCGTTTTTTAAACCTTTGGAGAGTCGTTCTTATTTGTTCTATTTTAGAGGTGCAAAGAGGTTCTTTTAGTACGGATATCTGTCGGTTAAAGGATAGTTGGCAAAGATAGGACGGAGTATTTTGGCGAAGAACGGAATAATTCAGGAGACCACTTTGGAGGGAAGTAGGCACAAGATGGACAGGGACTGGAATTTTATCCTGCTATAAATAAAGGAATTGAAAAAATGAAGAAGCTCATCGCTTTTGTTTTAGCTCGACCTGACCAGTTATGCCTACAAAAACTACCAATTCCTCCGCCCGCCTCGGCCCCGGTTAAACCCACCGCGAATAGCATTGCCGCCGCCCATGGTCTGGTCGTAGCCACCGAAACCTTGGTTGCCGCCAAAGCCTTGGTTACCGTAACCACCGCCGGCAGCCGCTCCCTGGCCGGCAGCACCACCAGGACCACCACCGCCCATTTGTCCCATCATGGCAGCCATTGTCGCGGGGTCCATTTGGCTGGGGTCCATGCCCGACGCCATCATCTGCTGGAGCATCTGCTGCATCTCGGGCGGTATGCCACCGTCCATGCCTGGCATGCCCTGCATACCGCCTTGGGCAGCACTAGCCGCGGCAGAACCACTGCCGGCACCAGCAGCACCGCCAGAGCCCGCATTGTTCCCGCCGGCCGCAGTCGAGTTGGCACCGGGCCCGCCAGCAACCACGCCGCCCGAGGCCATGCTGTTGCCGCCGCTGCCAGCACCAACAACACCACCAGGCCCACCCGGCATACCGCCCATCCCCGGCATGCCGCCCATCAGCATCATGTTGAAGTCTTCCATCATGCGCTTGTTGGAACTGGCCACGGCGTCCTGGTTGTACTCGGTGCGCAGGCTCTCCTGCTTTTGTGAATAGAGGGCCCAGGTGAACTCGTCGAAGCCGTAGTTGAAGTAGTCGCTAAGATCCGTGCCCGGCTTGCGCCACGGTTTGTCGTTCTCGGGGAGGTCCAGGTCAATGTTGACTTGTGTGATGGGCTTGCCGGTGGCCTTGTGGACGGGAATGGCGTTGATGTCAACAGTCGATGTGGACACGGCTGGGTAGTCGGCGGACGGTTCGCCTGCACTGCCTCGCCGTCCTGCTGCAGCTGCTGCCGCTGTGTCGTCAGACTTTCCTGTCGCCTTGGCGCTCCCTTCGCCAGTGGTTGACCGCTGTGGTATATTGCGAATGTCGTTGTACTTCGATTGTCTGGGCAGACGTGTTAGTGTCCATACGGTGGAATAGCAACTGGGAGCGCAAGAAGCGAGAAATGTACATACGAAGGAGGGGCTGCTTTTGTGCCGTCTTTCCGTTCCGTGATGATGTCAATGTCTGAGTCGTCGTCGTCCTCTTCCACACCGTCCTCGACCTCGCCGCCGTCTTCGTCCATGGCACCACCATCGTCGCCATCACCATCTTCTAAAGCGTCTGCATCATCACCCTGCCCAGCGCCCCCTTCTGTTTCTGCTTCAGCCGAGGTTTCTTCTGGCTTCAGGTCTAATGCTGCTTCAGCATGCGTCGCGGCAGATGTCTGCTCTTCGGGCTCATCCGGCGCGTAGAAATCGTCGTCATCGTCGTCGATATCCATATTGCGTGGGTGTATATGTGTTCTAGTGAGCGTGATACGTAAAGCTGAGAGGATGGAGTGCCGTCGTGTGGTGAATCGTGGACTTGTCGCAGCGTAGCTATGTTGGACGAGGTTGGCAAAAGCGGCAAAATCGCAAACTAGGGAGACCGCTGCTGAAGCTTTGTGTCGACAGCGCCCTTTGTCGTGCATTACACCAGGGAGCTGTTGCCATATTTGGTGGCAGGGACGGTCAGAGAGCGGATTTCTGCTGTTTGCGGCAGGTGCACGTGACAACTTTAGCCAGGAACAGCAGGCGGTGAAGCAAGAATCGCGCCTGCTCATCCAAAAACGCGAGAGCTCTTGCCTCAAGCAAACCAAGTGGCAGAACCCCAGGCCCAGGGCGACAAGGCGCCAAAATTCCCAGTTGAAAGGGGAGCCCCAAAAATACCGGTCACCAACGCTTTTCCTAAAACCAACAGCAACAACAAACCAACGCAACCACCAAGACCACACCGCATTCTTAGAGACCTCCGCCCTTTTTGTCTTGCATTTCCTGCCTCGGCCCCCTCCCTTTTTGTTTGGTAACTCCGTCCGCATTCTTCTGCAATGGCGCTAGCTCGGTCAGCGAGCGTGCCTGGCGGGCTGAGCATCAACACAGGCGCGGCCAACCTCTTGTGAGTACGGCGTGCTTTTGCGCTCCATCCTCGCTCGGATCCGTCCTGGATCAACACGGCTTTTGATCACGACTTCGTGCCGTCCTGTTCATTTACATTCACTAACACGCCGCAGCGGAAGTACCGCCACATCCCAAGCTCCAGCAAGCAGCGGTCTCTTCGGCTCGGCCACGACACAGACAGCAGCCAAGCCAGCAGGCGGCCTGTTTGGCTCCCCAGCAACAGCGACGCCAGCACCGGCGACCTCTACACCTTCTCTCTTTGGTGGCGGTACGGCAACGACAACAGCGGCACCGGCAGCAGGCGGCCTGTTTGGTGGTGGAGCGACGACAGCGGCAGCAGCCCAGCCTGCTAAACCAGCACTGGGCGGACTATTTGGCGGAGGCAGCACGGCGACGACAACAACGGCGGCTCCTGCAACAGGAGGTGGACTCTTTGGTGGAGGTACGGCAACGGCGCCGGCGACAACGGGCGGTGGTCTCTTTGGCGCGTCAACAACCACAGCGCAACCTGCGGCTGCCACAGGTGGTCTGTTTGGAGCAAGCACAACCACGCCAGCAGCCGCAGCACCATCGACAATGTCTGGTGGTCTATTTGGCACCACTGCACAGCAGCCTCAGCAGCAGCAGCAGCAGCAGCAGCAGCAGCAGGCACAGCAACAGCAACAGCAACAACAGCAGGTCGTCCCTGGGGTGCGCATCGACCTGTCCAACCTCAAGGGCACGACGCGCTTCAATGATCTGCAGGAGAGCCTGCAAAAAGACATCATTGCCTTTGACACAATGATTCAGTCCTTCATTGAGCAGAAGAACCAGGTCGAGGCGTTCCTGCCGGCACACAGCGAGAGTCTCGAAGCCATACCGGGCGACGTGCGCTTTGTGGCGCGCAAGTACGACGGTGTTTCGGGCGCCATGGCGTCTGATCTGCAGTCCATCCAGACGCTGCGCGAGACGGTGAAGCAGGACGCAGAGCACGCGCAGCTCAGCTTCAAGGTACTTGACAACCAGAAACTGCCGGCACAGTTCCACACATCTGGCCTGTGGTCGACGACAGGCGGCGCTGGTGGCAAGAAGAACGGGCGCGGCGGCCGGGACGGTGTCCGTGGCGGCGACGACGGCAGCGACGGAAAGGCGGGCAGTGACCGGGGCGGCGATGGTGGCGGCCGCACCGACCTCATCAACTACTTCTCGCACACGGGCGACGAGATCGGATCGCAGCTGCGCAAGCTCGAGTCCAACCTGGGCGAGATCGAGGTGCACATGTACAGCGTGCAGGCAGGCCTGTTGGAGCAGCTGCAGCGTGTGGCGGCGTCCTCGTCAAACGGTGCGTCGTCTGCTGACGCGAACGGCGAAGGTGGCAGTTCGGCCAGCGACAGAGTCGCCGAGCTGGCAGCGGTGCTCCGCGACTTTGAGGAGAGCATCCTGACGGTGGCCAGCGTGGTGGGCTCGGCACGAGAGAGCATGACGGGCCTGCAGCTGGGCGGCTTTCTGGGTCGGCGGTAAGGAGAGAGTCTGGGGGCGTAGAGGGCCATGGGTGTTATTTTGTATCATGTACGTCTAGACATTGGAGAAGGAAGCAAAGATGAGTGGGGCGGCGGTCACGGCCGCGGTTTGATTTGATTTTCGTTCTACTTGGCGTAATATAATGAGTCCGACTTTTATTTTTACATCCAGTATTTTGTCCTTTCGTCGTGAAAATAGAAATAGCATCGTCAGTCATTACGTGATCTATAGTTAGGTGGTGCATACAGCATACACAACAGGCCCAAAGACACAAGCCGTTTCCCAAAACGCCGTTCCGAATGTTCTGCCCGCCCCTTCTTCTCTCCCCCTAATACATGCCTTCGTCACCACCTCCTCCGCCATCGTCAAATTCGTCGCCATAGTCGTCGTCGTCCCCATTGTCAAAGGCTGCTTCTGCGTTGTAGTCGCCCTCCTCATCGTCGTCGTACTCCTCGTCCTCCACCTCGTCGTAGTCGCCCTCATCCTCAACCAAGTCAAACTCGACATTGTCTTCGTTGTCCAGGCCAACATTCTTAAACTTCTCCAGTTGCTCCAGCGCCTTGTGTGTTCCGCTCTCGCCGTCCGCACCGTCCTCGGCCTTCTTCGTCTGGAAAATGTCCTCGGCCGTGCGCAGCGACGTCACGTCCGACAGCGCCAGCACGCGGTCGCGCATGTTCTTGGCACCAGCGCCGCCCTTGCCCAGCCGCCCGTCGTCGTTGCCGTCGAGCGTGGGCCACAACTCGGGCGGGAACAGCTCTTTGCTGAACGGACGCGCCGACAGGTCCGGCAGCGCGCGCTCTGTCGTCTGGAACCGGTGCGAGTACATGGGTACAGACGTGAAGGGGTCGATGGTTGCCTTATTGCGTACGCCGTACTGCCGGTTGATCTGGTCCTGGCCGTACGCCTTGCCGGATGCGCCGCCGCCGCCAGGACCGCCGCTCCCGGCGCCCTCAAGGCTCTTCCATGTCCGCGTCTGCGTGTACAGGGGAGTGGAGTGCGTCTGTTCGCGGACGAGCAGGAAAAAGTCGACCGCCTGGCACTCTTGCTGCGTCAATGGAGCAGCCATCGGCGCAGAGTACGCCTTTTGCTATTGTTAATGATGCGCATGCATTATTGGGGTAGCGTTTCAAAAGCACCATCTCTTAGAGAGCCTGGAACTCACCGGAAACAGTTCAACGGGCCGCGAGTCGGCCTTCATTGTAGGGTCATCGGACCATGGCGCACCAAAACCGCCTCGCCGTCCTCCGCGACCGCCGCCGCGACCGCCGCCACGACCGCCACGCATCGTGTGTTATGTATGGTGAGGACAGGAAGTAGACAGAAAAATTGAGTACCGAAGACGGGGCAGGCGGGCAAATGTAACGCGTTGGACGTTGGTGACATGCGTATGACCGCGATGCGATATGGCCTATGACTGTAGATTGTCACCAATTCTCATAGGCCTTTCCGTCCTACAACTTTTTTTTCTGCCCGTCAATTTTTTGGACGGTGCATTCGCTAGTGGCGTTCCGGCATTAGTGGCGCGGTACAGTGAGCATATCAGTAACCAAGTTCGCCGTTATCGTCCCCCACCGCCCAAAAAGCATGCTGTAAGGTACCCAACCTGCAGGCGGTGCGTCGGCCCAATAGCGCTAGCCCCGCGTTTTCCTCAGCCGGTCCCCATCTCGCAGACAGCTCCTTCCTCGTGGCGCACCTATTAGAGCTAGGCAGAGAAACAACTGACGACACCTGCCAACTTAAAAGGCGTCTTCGTCGCAAACAACGGCCACAGCGGTGCGCTTTTGGGACATCAGGCTTGGGGAAGCTGGTCGTCTGGCATCCTCCAATCTGCAGCTTCTCATATAGTGACAAGCGATTTCAAAGCCTCATACATTGAACCCCCCACCCATCATGGACCACAACGCCCCCATCTCCGGCCTCGACGACCTCGACCGGCACCTGGATGCTCTCTTGGCTCTTCCCAGCAATGCACCGCCGACGGCGACCCCAGCCTCGGTCCGGTTTGATCCAGCACTCTTTGACACCGTCGAGCTCCAGCTCACCGAAGGCAACATTCCTGCCCTCATACCCCGCCTGCTGCCCAAGATCGTCGGCGTCCTCCAGAATCCAGTCGCCGTCGGTTCCGAAGCCAATGCCGGTGTATTGTCCTCCATCGCCATCAAGCTGCTGGGCCCTGTCTCGTTTGGTGATGCTCTGACGCTCGCGTCTGAGGCCAACCTGGTCGCCGCTCTTGGCGCAGACGCCGCGCCTGCGACCAACGTGCTGGCCATGACGGTGGTCCACAAAGCCTCGGGCGGCAGCAACACGGCCAGCCAGCGCCGTGCTGGTGCAGCCGAAGACATCACCCGTCTCTCGACTATGAATGCACTGCTCTCCGCGCTGGTTGTGCGCTGGCTGGCGTCGCCGGCGGTCGAAGTCGGCGAGTGCGGTTCACGTGTGATTGGCGACCTGCTGGATGTCGACTGCCCACTGCCACCCGTGCGGTATACGGCGGCACAGAACGAACCAGGACGGGGAATCAACGGGTCTCTGAGCGGTATCGCAACAACGACGATTGCGCCGCCATCGCCCCTCCGCACACGACCGGGCCAGGGCCAGTTGTGGAACCGCCTCCTGCACGATCCAACCTTCTATCAGGACGTGCTTGTGGCCATTTGCCGTGGCACCCACCCAGAGACGTCTGGCAACACGCACCAGCAGTCCATTGCACAGGGGCGTGTCCTGCGGCTCGTACCGCGCTTGGCCGCCCTCAATTTGGCCGCGGTCGCGACTGGTTCAGAGAGCCTGCTGCAGTTTGTCGCCCTGCAGATGGTGGACACGTCCGATGTGCTGATGCACCTTAGCCTGGTGGACTTCTACGAGACGCTCGTAAGCGTGTTGCGCGTGGCTGCAATGGCGAGACGCGTGTCGTCGGCCGCAACTGGAAGTGAGGACAGCGGCAACAATGTCGACTACACCATTGAGGTTTTGCGAACACTGCTGCGAACGGCCACGGCACAGGATCCGGAGCTCCTACAGTCCCTTCAGTCATTGCCGGACCGGACAGTCCCTGAGGAGGCGGATGAGCTTCGGGACTGGTTGCGGCAAATACTTCCAGCGTCTGCAACGCGAGTTTCTGGGTGGCAGTAATAGAAAATACAGCATATGCAGGGAGTTTGAGAGCTTGGGTCTTTTGTTATTGGGGCGTTGTGTGTTTGTTAACTGTAAATCTCATCTTTTTTTATTTTCGACTTTTTGCGTCTTACAATAAATAATAAAATGTTTTACACAATATAATTATATTTATCTATTATGACATTATTTTCATACCAATGAAGCATAAGCAACCAACCCGTAAAATAATATCTTCTGTTAATTTCTCTTCCTTTCGCAGTCTGATATAACCCCTTTCATTTCTCGACACGAACTATCGAAACACGAAAAAAATACATAAAGGCAGACTTCTTTTAAGCCGCGTTTCTATTTCGCCGGTGTGACATTGACCATGTTAAAATCTTACACCTGACGTTTTGAAGAAAATATATACCAACAGTAAGAAGAAAAAAAATGGCAGAAACAAGTCTTTGAAATGGCACAAAACACATCCGCCCCAAGAGCCATCTAATCAATCTCCTTTTTTTTTTTTGGTGCTCTACGCCCCTTTGTGCGTTTTACACACGGGCCCTCTTTTCTTCACTCCTCAGGCGCCGACGGCGAGTTCATCCGCCGGCCCATAAACTTGGTGCTCGCATCGCCGCCCTCGTAGTCCACAGTCCCGCCCTCGGTCGTTGTCGTTGTCGCCGTGCTCAGAACGCTGTCACCCCGACGCCGGTGCTTGCCCTGCTGTTGTTCATCGTACGCGCCCGAGGAGCCACGCCCGCCAGCGCCCTGGCCAGTAAAGAGGCCACTGAGGCCGAGGCTGACCTCACCCACGCGCCGAAGTACGTGAACAATGGCCGCACGCAGGTCGCCGCTCAGCTCGCGGCCCAGCAGCTCGATCATGCTCGGGTAGAAGTCGGCCAGGTGCTCCAGGAAGGCCGGCTCGGGAAACTGTGCATAGCCCTCGAGCACGTCCACGACGACCGGCCGCCATGCCATAATGTTGCGGTGCTGGCTCTCGTCCTCGAGGGCGAGGTAGCCCTGCAGAATATCCTTACACAGAGGCACGAGGGCGCTCTCGACGTCAGCGCGCTTCGCCTGGCGCTCCTCGGATTGGTCGGCGTACATCTTGAAGAGGATGGACACGTATGTAGCGGCAGAGCCAGACTCCTGCTTGAGCAGGTTGGGCGGCTGCTTCATGAACCCCTCGCGCCACAGCCGCATGCGCAGTTCTTTGTCGTTGTTGAAGCGGCGCGCGAACAGGAACGACTTCTTCAGCAGCGCCATAAGACGGAGCAGCTCGGTCGACGGGATCTGGTTATACACGGCTTCATTGCTAAAGAGCTCGTTGACCGTCTCAATCATAAGAAGCTGCAGCACGCAGCGTGAAATGATGCGGTTGAAGAAGCGGCGACGTGCTGCCGTCACTACCACAGGCTGCTGCTGGAGGCTGCTGGTCGGTTTGTAGTCTTCGAGCTGCTGTGGCGTTGACGGACCGTTTCCGGCGATGACAGCGGCGATGCTCTTTGCGGTTGGCGTCTGCGGGTCATCGCTGGAATCTTCGTCCTCGCCGTCCTCGCTTTCGACTGCCACAGCGGTGCTTGGCATCGACAGTGTCGAGGCCGTGTCCGAGTCGGGAAGCGGGTTGCCGCTCTCGGCCGTGCCACTGCCGCCATTGATCTTGAGCGACTTTTCGTCCACAAATGTGCCATCGGGTGGCACGCCGGGGCTTAGTGGGTAGCCAAACTCGAGGGCGCCGGGAGGCGGCGATAGCGATGCTGTTGAGTTGATGGTGGTGGCCGAGAAAAGCTGGTAGGCCGTGGTGCGCTCAAACAGCTCACAGAAGGCGCCGACAATCTTGGACCAGTGCTCCTCAGAGAACTTGGTGACGTTCTGCAAGATCAGCTGCTGCAGGCAGTTGCTACCAATGCGTGCTATCGTGTCGTTTTCTTGCAGAATGCAGAGGGCAAGCAGCTCAAGGAACCGGTCGAGCATGTACTCGAGCGCTTCAAAGTAATGCGTGAACAGTGTAATCATATTGCGCAACGCCTGAATCATAGTCGTTGACAGCCAAACAGAGAGCTCCTCGTGACTCAGCACGTTGGACATTTCGGGTCGCGACCTCAGGACCAAGAAGATCGGGTACAGCTGCTGGCGCCACAGGATGTCCCAGAAGTCGGGCGGGAAGCCACCGCCGTACCGCAGCAGCGTCTCGAAGAAGTAATTCAGTGCGTTCGACCGCACCTCGAGGTCCTCACCCGTCATCAAGACATCATGGAATGCAAAGAGGACAGGGAACCAGAAGCCCTCTTCGACTGACGTAGATGCACGGTTCGAGAGGGGCGACTTGAGGTCGCTTTCGTTTGTGCTCTTCCCATTTTGCGTACCGTTGGAATCGCCGTTGGCAGCAGCCAGGTGACGTTGTGACAAGGGGCACTCGGGCGTCTTCAGCATCTTGGGCACAACGGCCTTGAGCGTCTCCATGGCCTGCAGGCTCTTCTTCTGGAACCGGATGTTCTTGGAAAACTCAGTCAGGCAGACAATTAGGTCTGTGAAGGCACCCTGGGCGATGACGACGCCGAAGCGAGTCCGGAACACCTGTGTGACATTCTCAAATGCCATGTTGACAATGCTCTCGGCCGGGTCGCGCGCAGCCACCGTAAAGGCACCGAACATAGTCCGCCAGCCCGACCGAATATTTTCGCCCCGCGCCTGTATCATTTGGATCAGGCACCGTAGGGCCATATCCTTGACGTGGATGTTTTTGGAATTGGCCATGACGTGCTCAAACGGCTTCAAAAAATCCTTTTGGAACTTGAAACCTGGTAGCTCCTCAATCTCCATAAAACGCATAGACAGCTGACGCAGTGAGTCCAGCGCGAAGAAAACGACCGCCTCGTTGGCGTTGGCGCCAATCTTGTTGAAGTGGTCGGCCAAAAGGTCCCAGATGTTCGTCCACTCAAAACGCACACGCGTCATGTTGTAGTAGCTGATCTCGACAATCTTCTGGAGACTGTACATGCGCGGATTGTCATTGGAGCCGGACACCTTGATCTCGTCCCAGCTGACTTCTGTCAGTGCACGCGCAAAGTGGGTGATGGCCTCACCATTCAGGTTCGCCGTGTTGGTAAAGATGCGGTCCATGCTCTTAACGGTCTCGTCCGATGTCAGATCGTAGGCGATTTCCGGTGACGAGAAGCCATTGGGCCCCGTGGGAGCACGGGGCCGCTGTCGACGCTGCGTGGACTTCCGGCTGTCGCTACCTGTGCTGTTACGGTCCTTGGAGGGCGGCACGAAGCGTGCCTTGGACACGTCGGGCACAGCACTCGCGTCGATGCCGCTAGCCATCAGTTGTAGGCGCTCAAGCTGGCTGACAGAGATGAGAATATCCTTCCAGGACTGCCGAAGGTAATTGCCTTCTGTGTAGCCCAACTCGAGAAGGACGCGCAGGGCCTCGACGTTCTTGGCGTACACGTCTTGAACGTTGTTCAGGCTCGCCGCATTCCGAAGCGCCGAGATAAAAGCCTCGCGGGGGGTCGACAGCTCAAACTGGCACGCGATCTTGGCCGCCAGCTGCATGCCCTCCAGGCAAAGACGGTTTAGCTCGAGGTTGTGCGCGTTCTGCATCTGGCTGGAAAATGCCGAGAAATAGGACATCCACGTCACGTCAAACATCGGGCCAATGTGCTTGAAGTTGGTGGCCGGCACAAATTTAACACCGCCAGCCTTGGCGGGGTTGCGGCGCTGACTGCGGAACAGGTTTTTGAAGAGCTGCTCGGACCGCAAGGAGATCTCCTCCGACTGCTGGACGTACGCTTCTCGTTGAAGGTCACGACCGACATTGGTAAAGGCGCTCGCCAGGCCGGTAGGCTGCTGCACTGGCAGATTGCCAGCCGCGGCTGCCGCCCGGCGCTCACTGTCAAGAACGATCTCGTTGGAAGCAATCTCCTCGTAGATGCCAATGAGGTACTCGTCGGGCAGATCGGCGTTGTCGTTGATACCGCGATTGTTGCGAATAAAGTCCTGCTGGGTCATGCGCTTCACGACATTTGTACTGTGCAGATCGGTGTTGAGCATAATAACCGAGTACGATAGCACGTATGCTGTATCGGCGTTCGCAAAGGCATTCGGGTTGCCATCGTTGTAGCGCTCAGCAAACTTGAGCATGAAACGATCGATCTTTTGGGCCTCGCCGGGAAGACGGAACGATTGGAGGAACTGGCGCAGGGCGGACACAAAGCGGCGCTTCGAAAAGTCCATGGTATCGACAAAGGCATGCATCGTCTCGATGTTCTTGGGGTCAGCATCGCCGAGGTACTCGCCAATCTGAGTCTTGTCCAGCCGGTCTTCCCGGATGAGGAAGTTGGCAATATCGGTGGGCGAGTCGCTGGGAATGAACCCTTGCTCAACAAGCATCTTCAGGCCACGCTTCGGCTTAAAATTGAACGCCTTAATTGCGACGGACAAGGCGGTCTTGCGTGCCTTTTCCTTCTCGACCTGTTCCGGGTCATCATCCATGACAGGCGTCGAGGGGAGAACCGGTGTGTCCACACGCGAAATGCTGTCGCTGTTCGAAGGGTCAATGGATTCACGGACATCATCCACAGATGTCCGCCGGTCCGCGTCCACAGCCGCTGCAGCCATTGCACCGCCATCCGGGCGGCCAGCCTGCGACCAGTTGACCATCGACCGCAGTGACTCAACGAGGGCATCGAGAGAAACCCGCTTCATAATGTATTCTGCCGGAAACTCGGGCTCAGGGGTTTGGTTGGGCACGATGTAGTTAACTGTCAGCGGAGGCGGCAGGGAGGTTTTGATCTGCCACTCACTGCCGCTAGTGCTACCGTGCTTCTCTTCGTACGCGCGCTCGATGTCGGAGGCAATGGGAACGGGAGTAATGGCCAGCTTAGACAAGCTTTCGACGATCGTCTGGAAGATATTGTCGACGTTCGGTTCGCAGTCGTAGTTGAGGTAGGTCTCGACAAGAGCGCGAGGATCGGCGCAGAAGCGGTTCAGGATGTTGATAAAGTACAGCTTCTGCGACATTGGGGCGGTTTTCCGCGCCACGAGGGCCAAGTAGATCTCGTTGAGGAAGACCTCGATCTCCTTCTTGAAGGATGCCCGCATAAACTTGAGCATAAGCCAGAAAATCTCGCAGCAGACTTCGAAGACGCGGTCAACCGAGCTGGCGCCATTGCGGGTGATGCTAAGGCACAGGTAGAACTTGATGGCCTGCAAGAAGCTGGTGGGCTCGTTGCTCTTGGTGTTGGTGATGGTGCAGAGCGGCGACGTGAAGACGCTGATGTTGTTATTGAGGAGGGTGTGGATAAGATGCAGCGAGATCAGCTTCGACCGCATGGGCTGGCCACGCAGGTCGTAGAGCTGGTCGGGTGGCAGCACCTTTGTGGAGAGGTTGCAAAACGACCGGAAAACGAGATAGGCATCACGGATGTAGACCTCATCCTCGGCGTCGAGAGACTCGGGCGCCTCATCATGGGGACTGTCTGGATTCGTCTGCTCGGACACGGATCGTGCGGAGGACGTCGGGTCACGCTTGAGGTGCGTCACCATAGTGGGGCCATCGCCGAGGTTCGAGTCGTCGAAGCTCTTGCGGTGCTCGAGGTCCTTGAGTGTCAGCTTCGTTTCGGCACCTCCCTCGCCGTTCGCGGCGCCTAGCTCGTCACGAGCTAGACCGGGGGTGGTAGCAGCCGAGGCCGTATCAGGAGATTCGTCGCCATCGCCACCGCCCTCGCCCTCGTAGGCCGTGCTAGCACGGGGCTGCTCAAAGATACCACTGCTGCCATGCTGCTTAAGCTTTGACAAGCCGAGCCGGGATTCCTTCATCTGAAGACGCAGCTTGACGCGCTCAAACACGGTGCCGACCATTTGTGTCAGTGTGCCCTGGGCAACCTGCTGGTTCGGCGCGTTCCGCGAAAGGAGGAAGACATTGTACACCTGGCGAATTGCCTTGAGGAGGCCAGCACCATGGACGACAATTTTGTCATTGAGCACGGCGGCCAGCAATGATTTGACAATCTGCAACTGGATCTCGGCGGGCGTCGTATCGCCCTGGAAGCAGTCGCATATTGTGTCGATGGCTCGCTCGATGAGAGGTGCGCGGTCGGCAGGGTCTGATGAGCCCTCTGCAGAAGTAGCAGCGGCTTGGCTTTGTGGGTCCTCGTCGGCATCGGTCGAGGCAGCATCGGCAGCAGCATAGGCTGCGGCCGCAGAGGCGGACGGAATGGAGAAGTAGGAGTAGGAGATGAGCTTGCCAATGCAGTCGAGGGCAGTCGTGGTCAGAGGGATGCTGCCCGAGCGGGTGGCGAGCTGCAGCGGCGCAAAGATGATTTCGGGGTCGGGAAACTGAGGGTCCTTCTCCTTGATGGCGGCCAGGGCTTTCTTGACAGCGTCCGCTAACGGGGCATTGTGTGAAGTGTCCTTGGCCGCAGCAATGACGCCGAGGGACGCGGCCACGAACTTGAGCGAGCTCATGCTGGCCGGGAGGGGTAGGTCGAGCGAAGGGCCATGCGCGGGAGGTCGAGGATTGGAGTGGTACGATCGGCCGAGTGTAATTGTCAAAGGCAGATGCCGTCAGGGGAATCGCAGGGGATGGCCGACGTCGATGTTGAAGCCAGAGGGAACGATTTGCCGACGTAATGTTGTTCGGGGTGGCAGCTCGATCTTCAGGTCACGGTCGTGGCAGTCAGGGGCACAATTGGATCTGGATGGAAGCTAGCAACCAAGATGGGAAAAGGAACAGCCGTCGAGTGTGACGCCCGTGGTGAAGTGACGATAAGTTGCCGATGCCGAGCAGCTGGATGAAAGCAGATGAATCGGGCTGCCTAGTTAATATGGAACCAACATAACCAGGAAAGGAGCATGTTTCGCCCACAGTAAACGACACGCAGCACTGGGGGCAGTTGCGACCCGTATCCGGCGAACCCACGCTTATGGGCGACCCCTAGTCAGATTGGCTGAGCAAGGAGGAAGGGTCCGCCACGTTTCCCTGCCAGTGCCCCACAACCGCCGGTTTGGGGCCACTGTGGCACAGCGACTGTGGCGCGTTGTGTGAGTCGTGAGGCGGGCTAACATGTTAAGCGCATAGGCGAAAGGACAGCTGTGCAAGTCCGATTTGTTCCATAAACCGCATCACGTGGCATCACGTGGCTCAAATGTGTGACAGAAACAGTGAGCGAAATGCACACCATGTACGGTGGTAAGCCTCTCGCCGGTTGTAATCCCGTAAGCTGCTTCTTGGTTTCAGTACACGACGGTGATGGACAAGTGAGCGTTGTGGTTCTGCCGTGCGCCATCGTTCCAGAGAGTTCCGGTCATGAGAGCGGGAATGGCGCTGCGACATTTTTTGTATTTCAAGATAATTTTAAGCCATCGTTAAGCGTGTACTAGAATCCGCCGGAGTCGGTCCTGTCGCGTCGTCCAGAAGGCCTTTGGGAGCTTAGGGGCCGTCGAGCAGAAGCCCGCCAATCATGTGTCGCTATTTGCGACGTCTTGCCAGGGGTTGCCGTAGCTGCAAGTGCACTAGAACCTTGGAAGCAGTGCGGCCAGCGCCGTCCAGCGGACCACTGCTGGCGAACATGCCATTTGGCAACGGCAATAGCGGCCCCTGTCAGTGGTGGTGGGTCGGGCAAGCTCTTTTTGCTGCCCCAACCACTAGGACTTCGGCGGCGATCGAGGAGGCCACTTCAGGGAAGGAGTAAAAACGAGCGAATAAAGCATTAAAAAATGGATCAAAAATAAACAGCAAAAAAGCTCGTTTCGAGCCAATTCCCCCCGAAGTTGGCTTCAGCCATCGTCAATTCCCTCGCTACTTTTCGCGCTCTCAAACACCCCAACGCTTTCTCCGGTGTTACTCGCTCCCATTTGTTTTTTTTTCTTTCACATAGCCATCACCGCATCCTCTGTGACTGCATTGACTCGTCAGATCACTCTTGTTTACTGTTCCTCTCGTTTTGGTCACTCGAGCTCCCACTGGTCGCGCTCGCTCCGTTCTTCTCCGTCTTAGTTTTCTTTTCTGATTTGTCCTAATTTACTTTATTTCTTGTTGTCTCCACCCCTTTCTTCTTCCCCCAATTCACCTCCGATCGAGGTCTAGAAAAGTCAAAAAGCTCGCATCAGACTTCTCCCGACCCTCCTTCAAACCCCTTTTCGACCTCCAGATTCATCCGATTCCCGTCCAAATCACCGCCGCCATGCTCGCTCCCGTCCTCCGGAGGCGCGTCTTCCAGCAGCGGACCGTCCTGCGGTACGCCGTGCCGTCGGCACTCGCCCGCTTCTATGCCTCCTACCCGCCACACACTGTCGTCAAGATGCCCGCCTTGTCGCCTACGATGACGGCTGGCAACATTGGCGCGTGGCAGAAGAAGCCCGGTGATGCCATCGCCCCTGGCGATGTGCTCGTCGAGATTGAGACCGACAAGGCCCAGATGGACTTTGAGTACCAGGAGGAGGGTGTCCTCGCCAAGATCCTGAAGCAGACGGGCGACAAGGACATTGCCGTAGGCAACGTAAGTTTATTTTTTAAGGATGCTTATGCCAACTTTCGGTTGCTTTTTGCTAATCTTTGATCTTCCCCCTTTTAGCCCATTGCTGTTCTCGTCGAGGAAGGCGGTGATGTCAGCGCCTTTGAGGGCTTCACCCTGGCAGATGCTGGCGGTGATGCCGCGCCCGCTGCTTCCGAGTCCAAGGATGCTGCTCCTGCCGAGTCCGCCCCGACCCCTGCCCCGACACCATCCGAGTCTGCCGCTCCCGCCGAGCCCGAGGACAACAGCTCTCCCGGCCGCCTTCAGACCGCGCTCGAGCGCGAACCCAACATCGGTGCTGCCGCCAAGCGCCTTGCCATTGAGAAGGGTGTGAAGCTGGATGGCCTTAAGGGCTCGGGCCCGGGTGGCAAGATCACTGAGTCCGACGTCCAGAAGGCCGTGTCCTCTGGCTCGTCTGCGCCCAGCGGTTCGGTTGCTGGCGCTGCTGGCGCTGCCTACGAGGACATCCCTTTGTCTGGCATGCGCAAGACCATTGCCAACCGCCTGCTGGAGTCCTGGAACACCAACCCCCACTATTTCGTCTCGGCCTCGCTGTCTGTGAGCAAGCTGCAGACGCTGCGCCAGGCCCTGAACAGCACTGCCGATGGCCGCTACAAGCTGAGCGTCAACGACTTCCTGATCAAGGCCATTGGCGTCGCCTCCCGCAAGGTGCCCCAGGCCAACTCGTCGTGGCGCGAGGGTGCCATCCGCCAGTTCAACACCGTTGACGTTTCCGTTGCCGTGGCCACGCCCAGCGGCCTGATCACGCCGATTGTCAAGTCCGTCGAGACCAAGGGCCTCGAGTCCATCTCCAACGCTGTCAAGGAGCTCGCCAAGCGTGCTCGTGACGGCAAGCTCAAGCCTGAGGAGTACCAGGGCGGCAGCATCTCCATCTCCAACATGGGCATGAACCCCGCCGTCGAGCGCTTCACCGCCGTTGTCAACCCGCCGCAGGCTGCTATCCTGGCCATTGGCACCACCAAGAAGGTTGCCATACCCTCCGAGAACGAGGACGGCTCCGTCGGTGTCGAGTGGGACGACCAGATTGTCGTCACGGCCAGCTTTGACCACAAGGTCGTTGACGGTGCTGTCGGCGCTGAGTGGATCCGCGAGCTGAAGCAGGCCGTCGAGAACCCGCTGGAGCTGCTGCTGTAAGGTGGCTACAGTTCATGCTGGCATGCGGATGGGATATCCATAGTGAGCGGACGAGGAGGACGTCTGGGGGACCCGACGCGTCCCGTCCAGAGAGTCAGAGAGTCGGTCTCGAAGTTGTCTAATGGAGGCCAGTTATCTCCCATGGCTGGCCTATTGCTACCAACACAACCTGCTCCAATCGTATATACAAATATATAGACGCAGGAGGTTGCCAGGGACGGGGCCTCGACTTTGTTCTCTGTCCAGAGAACGGCAGGCCCTTGTGTACAACGATTTTCAGTTTTTGTTGCGTGTTTACTAGCTGCATGTTTATTTCCCAATTTTTTTAAAAAACTTCTTTGGAATCTAAAAATGGATTAGAACGCGACATTTCTGTTTGTCCTTGAATGGTCTCGTTTGAACGAATGGATAGCGAATAATTAGGGGCCGTTTTGGTTCTGTAATTTTCAACAGCTGACGACGAATGGTGAGGCAGACTTATTCGCTGGTCATGTCGCAACGAGCTATCAAGGGAATAGCAGTAGCTGCCAAATAAAAACAAAAAGTACCGAGGCGGAAATGGGCCGCACGGATAGAGCGTAGGAGCAATGGAGTTGATCCTTTGGTTGCTCCTGCAGGCAAAAGTTTTGTTTCGTAATACAGGTCTTTTCATATGGTTGCTCTTCCTTCCAATCTGCCTTAGGGTGCTGAATGCGCCGTCTGACAGCCCTCATTTCTGCCCTGTCGATTGACGCTTGCCTCGGACTTTCGGCGATTTGTCCAACAAGACCAGGGCAAAAATAGAAAGGAGCGACGGAACCTCGTATGTTTCCGTGATGCATGGCCCGTGCACGCTCTCTGGCTCCAGCAAAACCGCCCTAGCAGCACAATATCCGACGAAACCGTTTGGCTAAAGTCCGCGCTCTCTGCGAAACCCACAACTGCACTTGTCGCAAGAAGCACCTGCCTCCCGTCTGCCGACGCTCCTTCCCTCCTCTTTTGTGCCTTTATGTTTCCAGTTCTTGCCTATTTTGTTTTGAATCCCAGAAGCTCCTTCCCTGATCTCGAATTGACATAGCGTGGCAGTTGTTATCCCACCAGAAACCTTTCTGTGGCAAGGCAGCCACGCTCCTCCCTTACCTCCGACCGCGCCTCACGAGCTTCCTCTTTTCGACCTCGTTTTCTTCGTCCTGCAAACACGGCTCGACAAACCTCTGAGAGACTATAACCGTCTCTGTACCAACGCCTATTCTTTAAATCCGACTTGCTGCAGCCGCCGTCCATCATGGAGCCCAACAACGTACCAATGAAGCGGAAGCGTCGGCGCCGCACACTTGCGTGCGAAGAGGTATGATTCCACGGTTGCGGACATGGACGTGAAGATGATGATGGAGGGGATGATATGATACAAAGGCGCTGTTGCAAAACGCAGGCCGCCAGTCGGCTTGTTGTCGCAAATTGCTGTTGCGTCAGCGCAGCTCGGAAATGCGGGTTAACGAAACAACGTCGCTAACGCCTAACGCCTTACAGTGCCGCAGGCGCAAAGTCCGGTGCGACCGAGAGCAGCCATGTGCCAACTGCGTGCAGGCCTACAAGCCGGAACACTGCTTCTACCAACCGGACCCTATGGTTACGAAGTCGCCGCCGATGCGGGCGGGCCATGTGCGCAAACTGAGCGAAGGTCCCGGTAGTAGCGACCGGATTGAGCGTGACAGCCGAGGGGGCTTTCCAGGAGGCCCGGCTGACCGCACAGGATCGCTGGAGCCCGACTGGCCGGGGTCAATCACAAGGACAGCTACGTCATCGGCCTCCGTGACTGGAGCCTCGACTCCGGCCCGGTATGTCGTCCTTCCGGCTCCCGGGAGCGGCATCGGGGCTCCCAGTAGCAGTGGTAATCCGCATTACCGGCACGACGACCAGATGAGCCGCACTGACAGTAGTCGCGACGGTGCCTTTCCTTCGCCCGGATCGATAGCAAGAGGGCCATTGCCGGGCGTCTCGTCTGTTACAGGAGAGTCAGAGGTGTCGTCACTCAAAGAACAAGTCCGCCGTCTGGAGAACAGACTGGCCCTCGTGATCAATGACCACGACGAGCCCCGTCTCCCTCCGCCGCACCATGGCAAACATTCGCCGCCCCGTGGACCACATTACCCTCCACCTCACCCGCACCATCTTCCTCCTCACCATCGGCCGCCGCATCACCACCCACCTCCCTTCCACCACGGGCCTCCCCACTGGCCCCCATTTGCCCACCATTACCCGCCGCCGCCGCCACCGCCGCCGCCGCATATGATGCACCCTCACCACCATGACCTTCCCCATCACGACCGGAACGACCGGCATGACCATCGCGATCATCATGGTCGCCACGATCACCACGGTCACCATGACCACCATGGCCACCATGACCACCATGACCACCACGACCGACATGGCAGGCATGATCGCCATGGTCGGCATGGTCGCCACGATTTGGACCAACCCCACCAACTGCTACCGCCGCCAACACCGCCATCCATGCAGCCTCCGTCCTCAAGCATGCCTCTGTCGTCTCTGCTCGAACCGCAGTTTGACGGTTTCGGGAACGACCCACCGAACCGCAGATCTTCCTCCCCGCCCGCGGAAGAGAGCAATACACCTACAAAGAACCGATATATGGGCCCGGGCCATTGGATGAAAGGCGCGTTACTGACGTTCATGGTATGTTTAATTTCGCCGCTTCCAAGGTTAACATGTCGTCTTGTGACTACTGACACGGTCTTTAGAAACCGCTTTTGAACGAGATCGACAGCAAGAACAGCGAACTGTATCAGCATATGAAACAGTGTAAGTCGCTTAGTCGCGTAATAAAGTCTGGCCGCGTCCCCGCAATGCTTGCCATTGAGTACGGCAAAAAAGTACCGGCCCGTGAGGTCGCAGACGAGCTGATCAACAGCTACTTCCGCACGTTCGAAACTGTATATCGTGTCTTGCATGTCCCCACCTTCACGCAAGACTACCGCCGTTACTGGGAAAACCCCAACACAGCTAGCAACAACTTTGTTGTCCAGATGCAGCTGTGCATGGCCATAGGAGCTGTTTTCTATGATGAGACATTCTCCCTTCGCCACCTAGCTACTCAGTGGATTTATGAGGCCCAGTTCTGGCTGATGACGCCGCCGTCCCAGAAGGCGCGGATGAATATCCCCGGCCTGCAGACCATGTGCCTGCTGCACTTTTCCCGTGAGGTATCCGGTATCGGTGCCGACCTCGTCTGGACCTCAGCCGGTGAACTAATGCGCTCTGCCATGTACATGGGCCTGCACCGTGACCCTACCAAGCTCCCCAAGGTCCCGCGTTATTTGGCGGAGATTCGCCGTCGGCTGTGGGCGACCATCTTGGAAATTACTCTGCAATCTAGTTTGGATTCTGGTGGCCCGCCATTGTTGTCACTATCTGACTTTGATACGTTGCCGCCCGCCAACTTCTTTGACGACCAACTCGTGGAAAAGGCCACAGCAGCGACGAGTGGTGCTGCTGCCCCGCCACCAAAGCCGATGACTACGTTTACCAACACTTCTATGCAGATTGCGCTGCTGAAGTCGTTCCCTACCCGCCTGGCCATTGCACGCTATGTGAACGACTTCCGCAGTAGGACCTCCTACGACGAGACCCTGCGCCTGAACTCGGAGCTACGGACTGCTTGCCAGGCCCTCGCTGGTACAATCCAGTCATATCGGCCCTCGGGCAGCGCGGGCAAGCTGCTTCCTACGAATTTTCAACTGCGTCTTGTTGAACATCTGACGCACCGCTTCTTCCTCTCTCTCAACCAGGCGTATCTTGCTGCGTCGCAAAACGACCCCAAGTTCTACTTTTCGCGGAAAGTAGGCGTCGACACGTCGCTTAAGCTATACCAGGCCTGGTCGGGAAAAGCGTCTTCCTCTTTGTCAGCATCATCGACGGGTACTCCCGCAGCCGGATCGACTTCTACGCCCTCTTATGGGCCGGCAGCATCCTCTCTTTCTTCAGCCTCGGTTGTAGCGGGACCAGAGGCGCCGCCGTCTTTGACCTCAACCCCCGGGCATGGCACCCGTGATGCGACCTCTGCAGTCGAACCCCCCGAAGACGAGCAGGACGACTTTTTCCGGCTTTCTGTCTCCGGATCAAGTGGGTTCCGGTCTGTGCCTGTACAGTGTATTGCAACCCTGAGTATGGACCTTCTGTGGCAGCTGGAGGAAGAGCACTCTGTGCGTTTGCGCCTGGGAATCAAATCAACCAACGGCGCGAACAGCAGCAACAGCAGTGGCAATAACAACGGCAGCACGGCCGATGGAGAACCCGGTGCAACTAGCAGCAATGCTGGCGACGCACAAAACGTTGGAGCTGTTAGTCCGCCTTCCGATGCTGGGTCCAAGTTGGCCATGCCCGGCGTTGTCACACAAGCCGTGCTCCTCGAGGCCCTAGAGCAGACTGTTCGCTATGCTGAGAAGCGCTTGCTAGCGGGCGAGACAAATGTCAAGGGGTATCTTTTCCCCTGTGCTGTCGTATCCCAAGCGCGTGCCCTCGCTCGCGGTGCGGATGCGGAGGACATGGAACAAACAGTTATTAATGAGTGCATTGCCCAACTCAAGCACTGTGTGGATTTGCTTCGCGAAGTTGCGTCTACGCACCCTGGGAAGTCGATGGACGACGACGCAATCACGTTCACGAGTCTAGGCTCAGACCTGACCATGAACACGTCAGATAATGACGGTGCTGCGCTCCAAGATTTTAATGCAGCCTTACCGGTAGGCGATGACCTCATGCTGGGTACCGGCAATGAATGGGGCTGGGAAGATTTGGTAAGTTGCATATAGCCTTCTTTTTGGTTGTGGCTTTGGTAACACGAATACTAACAAGATACCAACAGATGCAAAACCAAGGGTTCAACTTCAGCTTCAACATGAACGGACTAGACACTTTTTTTGCCGGCATTTAAGCAAAACGAAAGGAATATATGGAAGAGGGCATGCAGGGCCATGACACGTCTGAACGAGATGCAGATGGATATGATTGGGTAGCCATCCTCAAAGTTGTTAGTGGCGTGGGTGTGTTTGTTTATGACCCTAAAATAAGGTTCATGATATTAGTCTCATAAGCACACGTTCACAGTTTGAATTTCACCACGTCCACGATTTTATTCTTACTAACTTTTTGCGAACTTTAAAAATCTGGTGAAGTATAAAGGAATAGTATATGCACTTTTTGTGTCCCCCTTTTAACGCTTCTACTTTGACATCTACAACTCTTTCACCAACTTCCTGACCTTTCCAAAGCACACTCAACTACCACACCCAACAAACGATGTTTCCCTCTTTCAATATGAAGGCTATCGCAGCCGGTGCTATCCTCGCTACCGGCGCCATGGCTGCTCCTACCGACGAGACAAATGTGTCTCTCATCGACATTTCCATCCCTACCCCTACGGCTGACGGCTACCAGATCAACGCGGCTTCCACGACGGACAGCACCGACACCTGGACCAAGGTCGAGTCTGTGGACGCCGAGATCGACGTCGCCAGTGTTGTCGTTGACGTCACCCTCCCCTTGACCGATGCCGAGAACGACAATGACGCCGACGCCGACGCCGACGCCGACGCCGACGCCGACGCCAACGTCGCCCTGGCTATCGACTGGAGCTACTGGACCGATTCTCCCGACACAGCACCTGACGTCAAGGCAGCAGCGGCCGCGGCTCCGGCAGCCGCGGCTGCTCCGGCCACCCCCGCCTCGTCGGCTGCCCCTGCCAACCCCACGGAGAAGCCCGTCAACATGTACCCGAACAGCTATGGTGAGGGCCTCCTCAAGGGCATCAAGTCCATCTTCGACTTTTTGACCGGCCGCTCCATGCACAGGGCCCACAAAAAGGCCAAGGCCGATTACGAGGCCAAGGTTAAGGCTTGGGAAGCCGCCAAGGCCAAGGCCGAAGAAGAGATTGCCAACAATGCCCAGAACGTCAGCGAGGAGTGGACCATGGACGACCCCGATTACGACGGTGATTCGGGTGAGGTGGTCGAGGTGGTTGAGGTGAACGACCGCCGCGCCCGCTTCTTCCAGGCCTAAGTGGTTTTGCCCCTCGCCCTCGCCCTCGCCCTCGCCTTGTAAGGCGGTGAACCTTGAAAAGGATGCTTTTGATGCTAAAGCAGCAGCGACACGTTGTCACTTATGTGCTGACTGATCTTGTGGTTTGGTACCAACAGTGTGCATTCCATACGTCGCGCACTGCCTTATTTGTATTTGTTTGACCTTCTGATTTCTTTTTTCCTCCCAAAAATAAAATTTCCGAAAATATAGGAGCAACTTGCTTCTAGATAGTCATTTCTAGATATAGATAGGTATGTAGGTTAACAAAGTTGGTTGTTCTCAAAAATTGTCGTCCCTCTGCAAAGTAACCACATGATTACAAAGCGTAAGTGGTACTTGTAGGCACGATTAAGCGGCTACCCTGACCAGAGAGTTACTAAGTGAACCCAATACAAAACATACCCACACCTCGAATTCCACGACTTGTAAGAACTCTATTTTTGCCATTGACACAACCAGCAAGCCATCGCTTAAGCAGAGCACGCAAATGCCGTCACGGTGGCTGGCACTGCATCTGTCGTCGTGTTTCCGCCTTGCAAAACGGGTCCAAGACCACCAATGTTGATCGTCTCCAGATACCGACACCCGTGACAGTCGACACTGTATGTCGAAGTCACCGTGGTCAGGTGGACCGTTCGAGTGGATGGGTTGAAGGGATAGGTGAAGAGGTTCAGATACATTGTCGAAGTGCAGTTGCTGTCGTGTGACGTGGAAGAGACAGACGACGGGGTTGGCGCAGCGAGAGACGATGGACGGGGTGACGGCTGGGGTGACGGCTGGGACGACGTCTGGGACGGCGCCGCGCGGGCTTCTTGGCCGGGATTGTGTCTGTCCTTGGCGACATCGTTCCGGGGCGGCGAGTGACGGTCAGCCACAGGGCCGGCCAAAACACCAACCGCGGCCCAGCCAAGAATGTTAATAAAGAGCATGCTTTGAAGTATGAGTCGTAGTATGAGGTGAAGTGTGAGATGTACAAAAGTGCAATAACAGACACGAAAGTATCTAGGGCCAGGAAGTAAAACAAAGAATGGGTAGGTTGATATTTGAGAGAAAATAAAAGGAAACCAGTAAACCAGGCAGTAGCATGTGTTTTATATGAATAAAGAATGAGAACGGTCTGAATGCCTGCGGAGAAAAGTCGACGTTCAAACACAATGTGGAATAAACATAAAGAGCGGAAAGAGACGGCACTGTGAAGAAAGAGGTTCGGCCACAGGACAAACCAAATCGTTGTGGGAGTCGGCGAATGTGGGAGAGAGGAGTAAATACCGGACGTCAATTTCTTGTAATGGGAGGCTAACTAAATAGGCTGTCCGAATGAGGCCGTATTGTCCACCTTTCGATCGAGGACGAAAAGGCAGCATTCCAATTGCAGGATCGTGATGGTGGACGTGGAATGGAGCGACATCAACGGGTTGATGGAAGAAATGGATTTGACCGTTGCTGTCGATCACTCCGCCACGAGAACAGCGAAAAATCTTAACTCTCTAAATAAACCCAGGCTGTCCTTTTTCGTTTTGTAGCCTAACAAGACTTCGTGACAGGCATGCACCTGCTGCAGTCGTCCTCTTCTTCTTCTTCTTCTTCTTCTTTTTTTCTTTTTTTTTTTTTTTTTTTTTTTTTTTTTTTTTTTTTTTGGTTTGCCGCTTCCCAGCCTTGCTGAGAAAGCTCATAGGGTGCACAATTCCATATTTGAGAAACTGAGCATTATACTAAAACGTCTGTTCCGTAGTCCAGGAAAGATGCCGTTTTCATAGACAACAAGTCGTATCCTCACACGTACGGCAGATATCGGAGAAAACAGAGACTGCGTGAATGAGTAAAAGTACCAGATTTGAAGTACAGTACAAAACAAAAATGAACCGTAGATGAAGAAGAAAGGAACCAAGGTGTTCAAACGTGCTGCCCCTGCCGCTCTCCGCCCCTGTCGCCCCCGGCGTCTGCCTTACAACGCAGCCCCCGCTGTCGGTTCCGCTGCTCCTGCCGCCACCGGCACTGCCGCCGCCGGTACTGCCGCCGCCTTCCCCGTTCCGTGTCCTGTTGCCGTTCCCGTCAATGCCGCCGACGGAGCGCACTTTGTCCTGTACAGAGTTGTTGCCGTGTCGACAGACGTGGTCCCGCGGATGATCATGGCCGGGCAGTTGAACGTGTCACGGGCGATTTGCAAATGGTCGCAGCCGTGGCAGTCGACGGTCCGCACCTTGGTCACGGTGGAAGCATATTCCGTCATGGTGCCGTCCCAGGTGCAGGGCGCAGGCAGGTGCACGGCAGATGCGTCAGTAAGGGTGTACGTGCAGACGACAGCCGCGGCGGCAATCTCGGCATCTACTCTGCGTTGCGGGGCTCTGTTCGCGTTGTTGTCAATACAACCAGAAATGTCAATACCACAGTTGCGGAAAGGAAACAAAAGAAAACCGGCAAACACCCACCAAATGACGTGTCGGAGCCGTCATTGTTGCCATTGTCGCCGACGAGGGGGCCGCCGGGAACAATCAGACCCGGCGACAGGGTCGGCGGGAGGGGATCGCCCAGGCCAAAGCTCGGGGGCGGGTCGTCCGCTACGGCACGGCCGACGTTAAAGTTGGAATCGCCGTCATCACCAGTGAACGGGTTGTCGGGGTCCAGTTCGCCGCCAGGGAACAGGGGGTCAGGCAAGATGGGTCCTCCGGGGATCACCGGATCCGGCTGGAGGGTGCTCGTGGGTCGACCGGGGAACCACCAAGTAGGCGTCGGGATAAAGCCGTCCTCGGCACGGGGCTGCACAGGCGACGCGGACACCAGCGGTGCCACGAGGATGGCTAGAGCCAAGATCTTGCGAGCAGCCATGGTTGATCTGTTCACGGTATGGTTACGGATGTGTAGAAAATGAAAAGTTGAGAAGATGGGAGGATGAGAGAGAAGTGAATGTAAGATGACGTGAGAAAACTGCTGGGGGAAATCTGGAAGCGGGTGGGACGATTAAGCTTTTGAATGCTAAATTTAATGAAGGCAAAGGAAATTGAAAAGCGTGGTCCTCATGGGGTCACTTATCTACTTTGCGAGGTAGATGCCTTCTTTCCTGGAAAGGAGAAAAAGTGTCAGGAGATGTGATATTCTGGGCCTTGCCATGGCCCAATATTAATATTCGGTTGGCGATCTATATGGAAGGCCGGCTATAAGACTTGTTTATTTTATATAAGGGAGGGGGGGCTGAGAACACCACCTCATTCGACGAGGTGACGTACAGATTCCTTCTGGTGATTCTTTTGCATTTCCTCTCTTTTTGGCTCGTGGAGTTGTGGCGTCACTTCGGTCTTGCTTTCTCCTCGGTGTGTTAGTCTACGGCGCAGTTGTTCCATGGCGGAAGAGAACAAGTTTAAGCCGTCCGTGGCGTTACGGAGACGACCGTCTTCCTTTTGTTGCCCAACTAGGGTGACACCGAACGAGTTCCTTGCGATGGAGCTTGTGGGCGATGCACTGAAAATTAAATGCAAGAAATGACGGCACGATATTGACCACCCACAAGCTTCGTCTTTCTACAAACGGATTCCTCCACAGGAGGTTCAACAGCGGCTTGCGTATCCTATATGCCGGCGAGTTTGTAGGCTTGTCAATTAAAAGGTCTTGGTATCGTCCCAGAAAATCCATGTTGTCTCACGGTTGCCTCAAATCCTGCCATACGCTCGCTCGTTTACTGTGTTCTGCAGTTGCCGGTATTCTGTTCATACTTTTGCCATGTTCCCCCAAGCGTCAATCATGTAGAAAAAGAGTGACACACTGCGGGATGGGAGGCGAGAAACCGAAGGCGACGGGTAAATTGGGATAAATGTGAATGGTGGTGGCTGTCGTGGCGGTTATGGCTTTGTGGTTGTGATGTTGGTGAGATGAACTGGAGGAACCGGTTGGACAAAAATACAACGAACGATACAGTATGCGACTCCCTCGAATTCCGGAGAATGTCCTCCCGTCGTTGCGATGCGGCAGCCTTCCCGTCGTATTGTTCGAGATCATCGCCGCCTCTGCTCAACACTTGCCTGGTAACGGAAAGGGAGCCGTCTAAGTTATTCATAGAACGTCATTTAGAGCGGGGCGGTGTCTATTAATATAAACTTGGGTGATAGACAGTGCAAAGGCAAGAGAAGACAAAAATCCGAGGCAGCGCTCACACTTCGATAGATGCCCCTGTACTTAATTCGTGGAACTCCTTACTCAATTTACCAGCCAGCGGAATTCGACCGCACCTTGTCTTCCCAATTAAAACGGTCCCCTGCTTTATGGTTCGCCTTTGTCTTTTGTACCGTTGATGTGCTTTACGGAGCGCAGACCGCCGACACATATTCTGACCTTGGTTGCTGTGCACGTTGGGCTTGAGAAAGCAGAACATCGCGCAATTTTGTTGGTGGTCAGTCTTCGTTTGGCTATTTCATATTTTATTGTCATGATTGCAACCGCAAAGCGAAGTCAGGCCATCTCTTGAAATAAAATAAAGTTAAGGTTGTGACGGACCTCCGAACCCCTTTTGTTGTATAACGGAGCGCCGTCATGTGAACCTTAACATGCTTGTTCTCTCCTATAGTACCGAAATCCTGGAAACTAGATACTGCATCGGCTCACACGGGATGGATGTAAATGTGCCAAGCATGCAGCCGCACGCTTTGCTAGGCATTGTGAAGTAAGATGAACACGAAAAAAGAAGATGAAACAAAGTAAACAAATGCTGACAGCTGACTTCGGCGTTAACCAAATCACGGTCATTTCGTAAGTGAGCCACATCAAAACATTTGGAAGGCTGTTTAATTCATAATTAACGTTGCTCGATATATGTACGAGGGCAAGCAAGACCGACATCAAACATAAAATATAAAATAAAAGGTGCTACCACCAGAGTCTTGCTTTGTTTTTGTTGTTTCCCGTTCTCTCCGCTTCATCTACAGCTTCGCCTTGATGGCGTCACTGCCCCCGCTGCCGCCGGCAAAGTTGGACCCGCCCAGGGCCCCGACAATCCGGTCGATGCTCTGCAGCAGCCACTCGCTGCCCGCGTCCGTCACCAGCCAGTCGACGCCGCGGACGCTCTCCCTGTCGTCGGCCGACGCGCCCTGCTCGCCATGGGGCAGCCACGTGCCGTCCGCGACGGCCTTGCGCAGCCCAAAAATGTGGGACACGACCTGGGGGCCGACGCCCGTCTGGGCGCGCAGGCAGGCAATGGCGACGAGGCTGGTGAGGGCGCGGCCCACGGTCGCGAGGCCGCCGGCGCCGTGGTTGGGCGGATCGGTGAAGAGGGGCCCGTAGTGCGAGTTGAGGATGTGGACGGGGAGGTCCGGGTGCGACTCGGCGAGCTTGTCGAGCAGCTTGACGTCGACGCCCGCGTAGACGGAGCGCCAGAGGCCGAGGCCGCGGGCCGTGGTCTCGGGCAGGTCCTCGGCCCTGGGCACGCGTGTTGGGGTCGTGGCAAGCTGCGAGACAACATCGGCGGGCAGGCCGCTGTTGCGGAAGCTGCCGAGGACGTTGATGGTGCGGGGGATGCCGTTGAAGCCGATGCACTTGAGGCCGACCTCGCGGATCAGCTCTGCCGCGGCCACAGGCGGCAGGGCCGGCGTGGGCTGCTCCGAGGCCACACGCCAGAGCACAGCCAGAGCGTCCGGTGCGTTGAGCGTAATGGTCGCGGCCGCCGAGAAGGTGACCCACGGCTGGCTGCCAATGTTGTTCTGTGCCGCATCACGTGCAATTGCCCGGTACACGTCCGCAATGCGCGGCGGTGCTGCGGTCGGCCCTGGGCGCGAGAAGGGCGCGTTGATGAGCGTCTTGAGCGACGCAGACAGCTTGGACATTGTGGCGGCTCCTCGGCGATGCTTGGCCAGCGGATGCACGGCGCTTGATGCTGCCGGGTGATCGAGTGCACGTTTGCGTCCTCACGTGGTTTCTGTCGACTGGTCTTAATCACGTGATAGGCACTGTGTTGCTTCGTACTGAAAAAAGGCGAGAACTATGGCTGCGAAGGGATCTGAAGACCCAAAGATATGGCTTCTGGGGTTCGTGAGAAAATCAGAATCGATGGCGACCTTGCCAAGCCGGACGTTTGCCATTGCAGCATCGGATTCAATTGCCGACATGGGTGCTGTTGGCTCCATATTTATTTCGACACCAAAGGTGTTAGCGATACGTTAGTGGAGCCGACACCACTGTGGACGGACTGAGCGTGTAAAATACAGCAGTGGGTTTTTATTGCAGCATCTACTGACGTTATTGCGAGCCACCGTCGAGTTTCAACCACCGACCATTCCCTAAGTCTGTTTGTCCTCCAAAATCACCAACAGCGGCCAGATGAATATCCCATACTCGATGCACAACGAGACCTCAACTGGCCCATGGCCCATGGCCTGCCATGCGTATCCATCACCAGTCCATCTGCACACGGCACACCTCCTCGACGGTGCTGCTGCGTGCGCCTTCGCGGCCATATTCTCTCTCCAGCTTCTTGTCCACCTGGTCCAGGGGTTCGTCCGTGTTTCGATTGCTGTTCATGTCGTTTTCGCCCATGATGCGCAGTCCCGTCTCGAAAACGGCCTGCAGCTTGTTCTCCAGGTCTGTATTCACAGCCTGCTCTTCTTCCTTGCGGCTCGACTTTTGCTTGCGCCGCTCTTGTTCGCGCCGCATGATGCTCTCGGCATTTCTGGCCACCCGCATCTTCTGCTCGTAGTTGAGTAACACCATGTTGACATCCTCAGCTTCTTGCTGTTCCTGCACATCTGGTCGCCCAGACTGTGTCGACCGTGTTGACTGGGTCGAATGTGTCGACTGCTCCGACTGCTCCGACTGCTCCGATTGTCCGGATCGCTTCGACTCGCGCGTCTTTGCACGCTTCTCAACCCGCTCATAGTCCTCGGAGAGGCCACACGGCGGTTCGGCTAGCTCCACCTCGTCGGCTTGCCCGGTTTGCGCTGTCTGCTCAGATTGTTCGAGCTGTTCCTCGCGTGCTCGCAGAATATCGGTCAGTGCGTCATACTCTGCCCTTGTCGGCTCACGAATGGGGAAAACGTGACATCTTCTGTCGCCAAGACACCATTTCAAGATCTTGTTCTGGGCACTGTGGAAGGCCGTATTAAATTCGGGGCTGCACGGCTCCAGCGGCGCGCAGAGCGTCTCTCCCTCTCGACTCCAGCGAAGCACCGCCCGGACAAAGCCGAGCTTTGGCCCGTAGACCTTCATGGCAAGCAGTCCAAGAGCGATGGTGCAACCGACTGTAAAGGCACCTAGCTCTCGGCGCGTGGGAAAGCCATTGCGGTGGCTGGCAAAGAGGTTTCGGTATTGCTTGGCCGACTCGGGCAGTTCGCAAATGGCCCGCAGCGTGTTTACAAGAATACGCAGGTCTGTCACGGACAGCGGATCGACCTGTCTCTCGCAGAACATGAACGACAGAACTGCGTAGTACAGGGCACTCTCTAGCTGGCGGATCTCGAGGAACATGGCTGCTCCGGCCATGCGCAGCCACGGGATCGGCTTGTAGGTAACATTGTCCATGGGCCCTTTTGTGAAGTGGGCAAGAAACTCCCCCTCCGCCAACGTAACGAACTGATGAACCAGGTCCGTCTTTGCCTTGTCCCAAGCCGTTCTTTTGATGTCATGAATGAGCTGGACAGCCTTTGGGACAACGCCGGCATGAAACCGCTTGAGGGCCGCCAACTGACTTTCACTTTCCCCGGCAATGAGCTTCATGGCGTCGGCATCTCTTTTGCACACCTCGCCTAGTAGAGAGGCCCGTTAGTCGGCTGAGAAAGAAAACAAAATAAACGCATGAAAAGCATACAGTTGCAAACGTAATCGGGGCAGAGCGTTTGCAAACGCAAAGCCTCCCGGCGGCTCTCCACATCAAGGCGCGTGTCAACCAGCGCTACCGTGATTTCTTCGCCGGGGAGAATGGCGTGGAGCGATCGGACACGTGCCTGGCGACCTTCCACGAAGACAAAGGCATTGGGGGCGCACGAGTGGTTGAGCATTGCAAGCGAGATGTCAAAGCAGTGCACAATTGCGGTCTCGTCGGCCGTTGCGATGACCGCTTGATTGGCTAGGATCTGCGTATGTTAACACGGTGCAGGTAGTTGCATACATCCGTTAACGACGCCACACAGCGACAAACATACTCGACAAAGAACATCACGGATAAACGTCAAGTCACGGTTCTCCAGTGAGAGGAGATGATAAGCATGGAGAGCGCAGTTCTTGACATTGTGCGAGAGAGGAGGCTGCAGCGGAAGCTTGAAGGGCATACTGAGGTCGCGGATCACTTTCATCACGTTGTCGGGAACCGTGTCGGCCTTGTCCATGAGCAGCAGGCGAAGGTGGAGGAGGAACGCCGGGTCTCTGCGCTGCAACGTCTTCAAGAGTCCGCACTCGAAACGGTGGAACTGCTTCCACGCTTTTTGGTGGCAAGTCTAAGCAAGCAACACGCATACGAGGTTAGCAAGGCCAAGCTTCCATCAAAGAGGCCTGGGTGTGTTTTTCACGCACCTTGTTGCAAAATGACATCAGGTTGCAGCCCGTGCAGCGTCGAGCCGGCGGGAGAACTGGATTGCCGCTCTCGCTCTCGCTAGCCACTTTTTCGGTAAATGTCTGCGGGCTCTTGAAGCAGTAGTCACAGACGTCTGTATCGCGCAGCGGTCCCTTACGAGGCCGAGTTGCCATGGTCTGGTCGTCTTCGGGACTTCGGGCCATGACCAACGGGTTGGTCAGAAAAATCATCTCTCCCGGCGGCAGGGGTGCTTCGCCCGTGAAAAAAAGTCCGCTCTTCTTGGTGCCCACGGTAGACGCCTTGATTTCAATGGGCACGGCTTGCTTCATGGAGTCGATGACCGTGGTGTACAGCAAGGGGCTGTCATGTACCAGGCCGATGGGTGGCACCTCCAGCGGCGGCAGCGACGTGGCGCTGCAATCGGCGGACGTAAACAGCGTGGTGTTATACTCCTCCATATCCTCGATGATTGTTTCCGCCATTTTGAGAGTCACAAGATCAAGTTCAGAAACACGTGAATGGGAGGGCTGGTTTGAAAGCGTAATGTAGAAGAAGCGTCGTGCAACTGCGTTGATTGAAATGGGGCAGACGAAATAAGGAGAAGATGTATAGGGTTGCAGCGTGCAGACTGTTTAGGATGTTGTATTGAAGAGTGGTAGCAAAAGGCAACATTGTTTACTCTGTCCGTATCGGAGGCAAGTCAAGAAAGGAAGGAGGGATGGTTGCAGAGTGGCAGGACAATGAAGAAAATAAATGTTGCTTCGAGGAAGGCGCTCCCAGTCACTTACTTGGGAAGGAGCATATCAAAACATTAGAATATAGCCGCTTTTGATCGACTGAGTAATTTACATATTCTGTCTACTCATCCTGGTCGTTATTACGTCTAATCGTTTTTGATGGTCCTACTGAGAATGTACTGAGGCCATTGAAATGATTATTTGCGGCCTCGTAGAGCTCTGCCCTGCTAGTAGGAAGAGAGAGAAATGTGTTCATTACTTGTCAATTTCTAGTTACAATGTGGACTATATAAAACAAGAATCAATGCATCAAACATTGTGTCATCAAGTTCATAATACTAGTAAAACAAATTCAAAAGAAAGACAAAAGGCAAACAAGTATTCCGCAGCGCCACAGATTCCGCAACACACATACACACACAGCTTAGAAGTAGCTACGCATGGCGTCCTGGAAGCCGGGGCCACCCTTGAGATCACGGTCAAAGGACATGTGCACCTCAAGGACCTGCCGGATGTGGCTCATGGACATGGGCTCCTTTTTGTTCACGGCCAGCGCCTGGGCCGTGCGGACGGTATTCTTGATCTGGCGACCATTGAGTTCGTTCCGGGCCAGGTCGTTGTAGTCCTCATCGGAAAATGGCATCATTTCAATCTTCTCGAGAACGCGCACCCGCTCGATAAAGATCTTGAAGATGGCTTTCTTAGCACGTTGGTCGAGAATGTCGTAGCGCAGCGCAAGGTGGATTCTCGACTGGAAGGCATCATCAAACGTCTGGGGCATGTCAATAAAGAACGTCGCTAAACGGATCACAGAACATGACGGAAGGATAGTGACATACCTCAACACGGTTCGTCGTCAGGAACAAAATACCCTGGAAGTACTCCAACTGTCGGAGAAAGATGCTGACTAGAGCATTTCTGTGGATATCGTGCATGTTGCGCTTCTCAAGGAACACATCGGCCTCATCGAGAAGCAGGATAGCACCCCATGCATGACAGATGTCGAGGATCTTCTGCAGCTCTGACTCCAAGAACCGAGAGTCCGTGCCTAGCTCGCCGGCAGAGACCATGTACAGGGGGCACTTAAGCAGCTCCGAAATGCCCTCTGCAGTAAGCGTCTTGCCGGTGCCTGGAGGTCCGTGAAGGACAGCTAAAGAGAAGGTAAGTTAGCCCTCCACGACTACAGCAACAACTAGATCGGAGTAGAGTAGAAAGTCGACATACCAACGAGACCCTTGCCCTTGCCCTGAATGACGTCGTCGATACTCTCCGCTGCGTGGTATTTGTGCGATTCGACGAGAGCCTGTACACCGTTGTCAGATTCATATACTCTAAACAAAGAGGAATGGGAAACAGTGACAAACCTTAACAATGTCCTTCGTCTTGGACTCAAGCACAAGAGACTCATAGGCGTCCTTGTTCCAATGGATCTCCTTCACACTAGACACGGTAAACTCCAGCCACATTTTCTCTGCGAAGGCGAACCCGAGAACAACCGGAGACGACATAAGGTACTCTTCCTCGCTGAACTCCAGCGGCACCTTCGCATCGTCGTTGTCACCCGAAGCATTGTCGTCCTCGGCGCCACCATCCTTTTCAGACCCTTTCTTGAGCTTCTCCGGGGCCTGGTCGTCGGAACAATTGTCAGCTTCATTGTCGTTTCGGTTGTTAATCATCCTGGTACCGCGTATGCGTCTTACCTTCTTTTCCTCCAGAATGCCGTTGGCCCGTCCGTTCCCTTCGTCCGTGTCAGAGCCAGCACTACGGCCCCGCCCGTTACTCCATTCGTTGTCGGAATTTTCGTCTTCCGAGAAACCTTCAAGCTCTGTAGGGCGGATGAGAGAGATTGGGTAATTTGGGTTGATGCGGCGGTGAATGCTGGAGTCAATCATGATGCGACCACTTATGTTGACCTTGACAGCTGTCTTTTTCTTCTTGTAATACGCCATACCGTCGTAGTTCTTGTACTGGACGCCGCTCAATGACACAAATTTCTTGCCACGTTCGATCAGATCCTTACGAAGCTGCTCTTCGTTTTTGTGGTACTCCAGAGGATAGACAGGCAGACTCGTGATCTTGCGTGCGCCCCGAAACTCGTCAATCTCATCGGCAACGCTACCAAATCCGAATCGTTTGCCATCGTACTCGAAATACTAGCACCTGTTAGCCCATGTTCGTCGTCCAAAACAAAGTGCCAAATCATGCAAGAGGTATTACTAACTTTTCCTTCGATGTAGTAGAAGCTGCCCTTCGAAATACTGAAGTGCTTCTCGGCCATCTCAGCCTTGAAAACTCGCGGCTCGTCCGGGGACCCGTATGTCGTTGTGAAAGCCAGGGTGTTCGGCTTCCAAAGAGCCCAGAGCAGCTCAAAGGTAATAAGACCGTTTTTGAGAAGAGGCTTAAGACTAATTGATTTGTTTTTTGTGAGTAAGGTCAAGAAGACAATCAAACAGTGGAGCCAAAAGGAGCAAATGGTGTATATAAAGCTCGAAGATGAAGCATTTCGCTTACCTGTTTTTCAACTCCTCATAATCCTTGTCGAGGTACTTCGCGAGAACCTTGAGTTGTTGGCGTTTCTTCTCGTTGCGCTTGGCTTCCTTCTTTCGGGTCTTCTTGTCTCCTGTTGGCTTGAATCCTTTCATGGTCTTGATATGCTTGCGGATGTCCTCCAGGTAGAGAAACAGCAAATTCGGGTCCATCTTCGGAGTCTCTTCGACAAGGCTGATACCTTTGATGTCACCCATGACTTCCTGAAGGGCATCGCGAAGTAGCTTGCTCTTGATGTCGACGAAGGTTTGCTTGTATTTGCCCTCCCAGTCAAACGTACGACGAACGTGGAAGACATAGCCGTCATACTCGGAGTCAGGTGATTCTTCAGCAGTGTCCTGCAGCTTGTAGTTGTGGATGGTATTGTCCCACACCTGGTCAACACGTTTGAAACTCATTGACTTGGACGTCTTCCTGTGCCTGGAACTCTTCCTGCGGCGGCGGTTGTCGCGCATATTGCCATGGCCGTCGACGATTACATTGTGCATACCACCTCGCATGCCACGGCCCATCCTACCTCTACCACGAGTCGGGGGAGTTGAACGTTTCAGAGGCATTCCATGATGAGGAGGAGGATTGTGGGCGGGCAACGGTGGAGGAGTGTATGCCGGCATTGTCGCAAAGGGTTGGGCCATGCCCGCACCAAACGCCATACCACCCATGGGCATGCCCATGGGAGCACCATAGTAGGGAGTTTGGTATTGTTGGTAAGGATTGAAGGCTGGGATTGTTGGCGGCGGCGGCTGCTGCTGCTGCTGCTGGAAGAGCATAAGCCTGGCGAGATCCTTCTGCCGTCGGGTGTTATGGTGGCCCCTTGCTGGATGGCGAAAACCGTCGCTCTCGCTGTCTGACCCCGACGAGCTTTCTGAGTCACTCGATGATCGTGACGCCGAAGACCTTGACACGGATGAAGAGTTCGAGTCCGAGTCTGAGTTCGAATCAGAATCAGAATCGGAAAGATCTTGAGCCTTGATAGGTTTCTTCGATTTTTTCGACCGACCCCGTTTCGTCGCCTTCGCGGCATCGCGACGCTTCTTGTTCTTCTTCTTTTTTCGCGAGCCTTCATCGGCGCTGCTGGAGGACTCACTGTCGGACAAGTCTTGGTCGGAAGAAAGATCAGAGGCCTGTGACGATGAGTCCGAGTCGCTCTCTGAGCCCGATGAGCCGTCGACCTCAATCACAACAGTCCTCTTTGGCTTCTTGGTGTTGGAGGTCTGTGCCTTACTGGTCTTGGCCTTGCCGCTAGCATTCCCCTCGCCATTGGCACGGTTTGTTGTCTTTTTGAGATTCGTTTCAGTCTTGATGGCCGCCGGCACTGGATCAACAATGGCCTTTGCAGTGTCCTCTGTCGTGGACGTGGACGTATCCATCTCCCGGATGACGAGGCCCGCCGAGTTTTGAGAATCCATATTGGGCGGTTGCTGTTGGAGCAGGTGAAACTTGAAAGGTGGAGAAATAGGTCAGTAGATAGTTCTTTATTGATTCTTTGGTTCTCTTCCCGGTTGCAAAGGATGAAACCAGATGCGTGCAGAATTATCAAAAGATACAAAAATACAGAACAAGAAAAATCAAAGGCGGCCTCGAGAAACAAACGAGACGAAGAAAGCAGATGCAGAGAGGACGAGGCGCGATAGAGTCAAAATGAAACCTGGTGAGCTTTTGGAGCTAGCCAGCTGTTCAAGCAGAGCACATGCAGCTCACAACTACGTACGATACACAGAGTGTCCTGAGGCTCGCTGCAATGCTAGCCTGTCGTCGTTGTCAAGATTGGTTGCGTGTGAAAAATGCACCGCCCGTGTGACCTAAGAGTAGAAGACACCTCGTGCGGGGGGAATTCGGGGAGACGCTGATGCAACGGCTGGCTCCTAACGAAGCCAGCAGAACTAGCTGAAGGGAAATAGCGATAAGGTGGAGGTCGAGAGCGAGGCGTGGGCCGCAGGTACGTTGCCGCCACTTGACGGCAGTCTTGGATATGCAGGGTGGACTGGGCGATAGGCAAGGTGCAGCCTGAGAAGTCGGTGAGAGATAGCTGCATCAGAATTCAAGGACGGGGACTGGGAAATCAAAAACAAAATTAAGACGACAGGAAGGCCCGGTTGCAAATAGAAGAGAACCGCGATGGGATGAAAGCATAAAGATATCTAAATCATACTGCTTGGTGGAATGTCGGTCTGTATTTACTTACACCAAAATCGACAGAAAGCGAAGATCCAAGCAAGCAATACCGCAGCGTGTGGCGATTAGTGAAGGACCGAGGATGCAACGTCGGAAAGTTGGGCAAATTCAAGCAAGTTTTGGCCGTGATGCGATGGCAATGCACACAAAAAGAGAAGTCGAAAGGTTGTCGACAGAGCTGGCGCGAGGGTGTGAGGCTGTGCCACGGAAACAGAAGGAGTGGGGAGGGTCCGCAAAAAAGGAAACAACGACAAAAAACGTGAGGCAGGAACGATGAACGAAGTAAGAGGACGAAGGTCGTCTTTATTATACCCTCTTGAAAAGAGATAGATGTGAATAGAAGATAAATATGTGGAGGGCTTTTACAGATAGATGCATGGGTCTGGCCGACGTTCAATTTGTTTGGTTGTTTGTTGTCAGAAAAGCCCCAAGCTGCGGTCTCCATGCATAGCCACGGGTTGGCCTTTTGGTGAATGCATGATTCCTGCCTGTTGCCTAAATCTCACGCCTGGTTTGCAGTCACAGCTTCAGAATCGCGCCTTCCTCTCCCGTTTAACGGACTCAACTCTTCACCTCCCATCACCAGCGTGAAGACAAGCCACGCAGGAAGGAGCTTGGGCCACTGCCTTCCCCGCTTACCCTTTCTCCACTGAGTTAAACCTGTGAACTTCCAGTTTTGGAAGAAAAGAAGAGCAAGCAACGGGAGATCTACCAGTTGGACTTTCCACTGTTGGAATGCCGCAACATGTCGACGATAGAAGCGAGCCAGATGCACCTTCCTCGTTTTCAATCATTTTTGAATTAAGACGCTGTGCTACAAGAACCACATCGTCGCCCACTACGGAGCAGCCAGCGTCACGATTCTTCGTCGCGACTCCACCAAGTTTCTCAGCCTCGTCAAACCATCTAACGCTAAGCGACACCCACAGGCAGACACCGCCTCGGAAGCGGCTCTCAACAGGCAGGCAACAGTGGAGCCTGGGCGGAAGTTGTTTGCCAAACCCTCTTTATCAGACCAAGAGGTCAAGAAGCTGCTCAAGAACGGCTCTTCCTTGCAGAGAGGATGGTGTCGCTTGTGCGGCTCAAAGGGACTTACTGTGGGCTGATGTGCCGTTGGCAGCCTAACCTTGTCAGCTGAAAAATAATCCCGGATTTTCGTGAATGAACCGGGGGCACACCAGCCTAATCTCGTTGCACAGTCGACTTTGGCACAGTCTGCGGATGCCACGTCAAATGTTGCTTGCCGTGCTGCAACCCTCTTTTGAGACGACGGTCGACCACAAACGAGCGACATACCGATTTGTTGGCCCACCATCGTCGTGATGGCACTTCTTCCCCGACCAGAGAAGTGATCACATACAATAGTGGGGTTGCTCATTGATCCTCACTGACACGATCGCCAGGCAGAAGATTTTATCGTCTGTTGAGGCTCCGCGAGACATGCTCAGCATATGCAAGGACACTCATTGTGTGAACATGCCTTAAAACAAGCTTACCACGCCTGTTCAGAATACAACCCTACCGAGGCCTACCATTTGGACTCGAACCAGCGACAAAACGAGCCGTCCTTCATCAGCAACGATTCATTGACCGAACAAAAAACAAACGCCCAACAGTTGACGATACGCTGCAGTTATTGCAAAAGACTTGCGTCAGATGATTTCCCAAATTAACCAACAGGCACATCTTGACTAGTTGGTATCTGCAGAGCAGTTGTTTCACTTTGTCCTCCGTTATTAAAATGCGGCATTTTAACGGTGCGTTTGTCCTGTCTGGGCCTATATTTACCGCCCATATCTTGTCGCATTCGAGGCCATCCAGTTGCATCTTCGCAGCCTCGTCGTATCTCGGCGGTAGGTACAGAGTATTTGGCCTCACGATGAAGCGAAACGGAAGAGGTCTTTGCGTGGCTAGTGACTTGGCCCGCAATGATCGATCACCGCCGACGTCATCCCGAATTAGTACTCGCTCCAACGCCAAGACCCGCTGGACCACACAATCTCGGCGAACGTCTAGCTTTGGCTGACGATTGTCGAGCCCAGTTTTCCCAGTTTGTTTTCCCCATTCGCGACAAGTGCTTTCGCGCTAGCATCGGACTCAATCGACAGGCAGATAAAGAGAGAGGAGAAAGAAGACGCCGCAAAAAGAGGGTGCCAGCCAGCTCTTTTCTTTGAGCTCCTCTTTCCCCGCTTCCACCTTCTCGCAGGTTCATTCATACAACGTACAGCCAAAATCCAATTAGCACTTGCAGAGCTGGAGACAACGACCACGACAACGGTCAATGCGTGCTACGAGAGCTTCTTTGCATAATACGTCTCCTGCCGACAATGAATCACCGTTCCTCGGGCGGCTGGCGCCGGCTGCTCGGATGGGACCGCCATCCGTCTCACGCACAGCACGATCGGTGGTGGGAAGAGACGCGACGACGACGTACGTGGTCAATTTATGATGTAGTAGCGTCAATTCTCCCTGAACAGTCGTGCTGACCTTTCCGTCCCGTGTTCAGTTCTCCCGGCATACGTCGAAGACACGATTGAGTCGGCCATTCCTCCCGAAGAGGTGACCAAGATCGCGATTCGTCTACGCTATTTGATCGAAGAATGCATTCCATGCGACATGGAGGAAGACGTCATTACGCGCTCTCATAGCCAGGTCATTACGAAAAAAGTCGTCCAAGCGGCCAAAGAGGCCGGTGGCGAAGATAACAAGGACTGCGTGGTATGTGTAGATTCCGCGCTGGGGATGGGATATAGGAGACCGGGCGGCCGGCATCACTACTGGCCTTTCGCTGTGCACAGTTGCTAACGGCCCAGGTCTATTGCTTGCTTATTTGCAAACGGTGGTTCTGGCACCAAGCCCATATTGAGCTGTGGGATGCGGAGATGCACAATATTCGCTCGACTGCGTGCGAGGTGATAGCCAAGCTCATGTGCGTATTGCGTTACCCTTTTGCTACTGCGGTCCGGGCCACATTGTTTCTAAACTCCCAAACAGCATCGAAGGCGAGGAAGACACGAACTACCTCATGCACGCGGTTCTCCTCAAACGCTACTCGATTCTCGTTAATAACGAGCCGACTCTACCTTCCAACGTCATCGAAAAGGCCGTCGACCTGCACGCTCTTCGTGTCATCGGTTCTTCGGGATATCAAAAATGTATCAACTACCTCTGGCGAGGATGGCTCGTGCAGGACGAGGACGATCCTTCGAGCTTCGTGGACTATAAGGACCGCGACAACACGTCGTTCTATTCGCACCTCGACCCAGACCGCATGCGCGCCCCCATGTACCAAAATGCAGTCCAAGTGCTCTTCTCCATCCTCTACCTGGTGCTCTACACCATTGCTATCAACACCATCAACCGCAATGGAGACTTGGACATCGTCGAGATTATTCTGTACCTCTTCACCTGCGGTTTCCTCTTTGACGAATTTGCCAAAGTCTGGAAAGCTGGATACTACATTCTCGGCTTCTGGGACGCCTTTAACGGTGTGCTCTACTCGCTCCTCTTTGTCAGTCTTATCATGCGTTTCATCGCCTTCTCCAAGGCGCCATCCGATGACCCGAATGGCAAGGGACCGCGCGAGCACTTTAACGAACTGAGTTACAACTTTTTGGCCGTCAGCGCACCCATGTTCTGGGTCCGCCTGCTGCTGTACTTGGACAGCTACCGGTTCTTCGGTGCCATGCTCGTCGTGCTCAAAGTGATGATGAAAGAGTCGGTCATTTTCTTCGCCCTGTTGGTGGTCATCGTCATTGGCTTTTTGCAGGCTTTTATCGGCCTGGACATTGCGGAAGATCTCGTTCTCAGCGACGTGACGTTCATCGTGCAGGCCATGGCCAACGCCGTGATGCAGAGCCCCGATTTTGACGGCTTCGAGCAGTTCGGGCATCCCTTTGGCATCATTCTGTACTATTGCTTTACGTTTATCGTCATGGTTGTCCTGCTCAACATCTTGATCGCCCTCTACAACTCGGCGTATGAGGATATCTACGAGAACGCCGACGACGAGTACCTAGCCTTGTTTGCGCACAAGACGATGCAGTTCGTCCGCGCGCCGGACGAGAACGTGTTTATCCCTCCGTTCAACCTCATCGAGGTGTTTTTCTTGGCGCTCCCGCTGGAATGGTGGATGAGCAAGCGCATGTACGAGCGCATCAACGACATTGTCATGGGCATCCTGTACTCGCCGCTGCTGCTCATCGCCGCCTATTTTGAGACCCGGACGGCGTATGACATTCTGGGCAACCGCCGCCGCGGCGATGACGATGACGACACGGTTGAAGAGTGGGAGCAGCTCGCTGTGACTGGTGTTGGTGTCGACTTTGAAGCGGACGGGTGGAAGAAGACAGTCGAGAACGTCAAGCCCAACGTCGAAGACGAGCTTGCCGTGGTAGAAGTGCGGCAGCTGCGCGCTGAGGTCACCGAGTTGAAGCAGCTTCTCGAGGCACTTGTCAAGCGGGCGGGTGACACATCGGTACAGCAGTCGACCGGAGAGCAGAGCTCCGCATCCAAGACAGCCGCATGAGTGGACACCCGGAAGAGAGGATCATGAGTGGCGTTACGAGGAGGGTAGGAGCAAGAAAAGCAGGGTTCGGCACTGCTAACCATATACGAGACGATCGGTTCTTCATCCGACTGAGCGGCAAGCTACCATCTGCGAATCATATCTTTTTCTGTTTTGCATTTCCTTGGCACAGAGGCAGACCCGGCCTAATTTTTTTGGATTTTTCAATATTTTCTGAACATTTAAGGGCATATTTTACTCCTGTTACGGCGTGTCCGGTACAACCGCGGCAGCAACCACGACCAACTACCCTACAACAGCCGGCATGACGCACAACGAACATATTGCGGTGTGGCAGAAACATATGAAGGTTATGTTTGTTGGTCCTGAACCCGGGTCTTGCTCGGCATTGGTTTTAGATATACACGGTGTTAGTTTACGGATACGTAACGTAGTATAAGAAATTGTGTGAAGTTTAGAAATACTACGTGCTTATTTTGCTAGTTTTATTTTGTAATTTGGTTTTTCTTTTAAGAAAAGAAAAATGCCGATTTACAAAGGCAATTAAATATTATTCGTCATTGATGGCCGTCATTTTCTTAAAATTAATACAGTCTTATACTACAACATAAATAATTTGTACGAGGGAAAATTGTTGGAAATGAAAATAGTGCCGCGAACTGACAAGGTTCGAACTTTTTGTGATGCATAACACACAGAATATAACACATAGCCTCCGAGGTTGACGGATTGAGCGCCTTGAAAGTAAATGAGAGGGGAATATTCGTCAGAAACACGTTGTTCAGTAATGAAACGCGAATCGACTCGCATAGAAACAAAAAACCGACTGTAAGATGGCAAATAATCTCAACGGGTTGAAAAAAAAATCAGAAGTTAAAAGTTGGAAAAAGAAGAAGGGCAAAAAGGACAGAAAATACTAAAACGCCACAAATTGAAAAATTTCTTGTCTCTCTCGACCTTCCGTTCCCTAAACATTCGTTGCCTCGATGAATCCCCTTAAAGAAAAGACCAAACAAGTAAACAAATTCCCTTCAAAGCAGCCGCGGGCCATCCCTTGACATATTCCATACATGACGACGATACAAACAACAGTTAACAAAGGTACTCCGCAGACACCGATTAGAAAGTAACAAGCTCCTTGCAACCGATGTTGATATCCGTACAGGTTTGAAAACAATACTGAAAACAAAAGACAAGACTGTCACATGCAAACACGGCATCAAATGACCGAAAACCGGTTAAGACGTCAAACCGGAGAGATGGTGACAAACAACCGAACATGAAACAGATCGTAAAAAGTGTTGAGAAGAGTTTTGTCGCGTAGAACAGCAAGAAAAAGAAGGAGAAAAAAGCAGAGAACAAAACGGGTATGGTTGTAATGTTCCAAAGTACAAGATGATGTAAACGCGAAGTTTAGACACCGCCGCCCATGAACGCTGCCAGGTCGTCCAGCTCCAGGAGCTGTCTCTCGAAGGCGCTGCACAGCTCCTTGGCCGTGATGTCGACCGTCAGGCTCGGCGGGTTCGAGTTGGAGCGCGGTTCGGGCGACTCCTGCTTGTTGACAGGCTCCGGAGGCGGGCTGTCGGGGGCCGGGGTGGGGGCACCGGCAGAACCACCGTTGATAGTGGCAATGCCACCGGTGCGTTTGGGCGCGGGCGGCTCGCTGCCGCGGTCAACCGAATTGTTGCGCTCGGCATCAAGCGACGCGTTACCGCCCGCATGGTCGTAGTCCATAGCATCGGGGTTTGTGTCCGGCTGCGACGAAGCATCGTCCTTGAGATAAGGCGAGCCATTGCGGGCCTTGGCTTGCTCAGGCGATCCAGGCGCATCTTCGCGCGCGTTGATGTCGCGTAGGACCTTAGCCATAACAGTCAGATGGCGGTTCCAGGGCATGACCAGGGGCCACGACTCGGCGCCGTCATTCATCAGACGCAAACTATCGCGCACAATGAGCAATGCCGTGTCGGTCACGTTGGAGGGGGCGAGTCCCTTGAGATACAAGTATGCAACGGTTGAACCAGCGGTAAAGGCGGAGAAAAGCATCACGATGGGGAAGCAGAGGATGGAATCCTTATCGGCCCCGTTCTCGAGCGACACCAGCATAGAGATGATGCCATGGGAGGCTGCAAAGATCTTGTCGACGAGCTGGGTATGAGCGCTGTTGCGCCACTCATCTGCATTGAAGTCCTCGGCCGTAACGATCTGCAGAATTTGGCGACGGTTGACAAAGATCGTGGCACACTGTAAGAGGCAGTGAATCATGGCGTACGTGAAGCCACTGCCCATGGTGACGTGCAGGTTGATCTGCCCAGGCTTGTCGGCAAAGTGGACGGGGAGAGACTGGCGGATGGCGTCAATCTCGGCCTCAAGGTCCAAGCAGCGAGCCTCGGAGAAGGTGTCGATGGACGTCGTGGTCATCATCTCAACCACACTGCGCCAGGCCTTCGTCGCCAGTACAATATAAGCGAATTCGCCAACATCGGCCAGAGCGGCATCCGGGTCGGGGGCAACGCCGGGGGCGACCCCGCTGAGTGTCCGGACAAAGACGGGGCTGCCAAAGTTGAAGTTCATGTCTTGGCAAGGGAGCGCGACATCAACAATGTCCAGCGATGAAAGAGCAGGATGGCGGCCAGGGCTGCTCGTGAGGAAACAGTCGAGGATGTAAATGAGCCAAAGAGTGCGGCGGAATGATTCCTCCTTTAGGAAGTTGTCGGGATCCGAGGGTTGGTGAATCTGCACGATGCGGTACATCTGGGCCATGCGGGCGGCCTGGCCGAGGTAGATGTATGCACGGACGGCGTTGCGGCAGCCCCATTCATGGATAACGAGGAGGCAGAGGGCCTGAATGTCACCAAGGCTCGGGTGATCGAGGGACTGCATGATGAAGTTGCTCGCCTTCTGAGCAAAGTGCTCCGCAGCAGCCGTGCCGCCGCCGTGGCTACCATACCGGCGGATGAGACTGGGAGAGTAACTGATAGGGAGTTAGAAATTGTGTCGGCACCAGTCGTCTCAAGGTTGTTCTTTTTTATCTTACCGAGAAGCAGTGGTCAGCAGGGCGTGCACCATCGACGGGTCGAGGGCAGCATTCTTCAGCTGCTGCAGGAAGGACGGCTTATGGAAGGCAACGCATGCAGGTAGTGTCTTCGAGATAACCCGCTCGCACTCGGCCATAAGTTCTGGAGTCAACCTGTGATAGAGGCGGCATGGTTAGTTAACGGTACAACATAGACTCCACGGGGCCAATATAAAGTGCACGAAAATAGGGCAATATGCTGGAAACCACATCCGAGGTGCACGCTGGTGAATGTCTCAGGTGGGGTTAGGTAGCATGTATCGTGCCAGGCGAAGCTGAAAGGGGGGGGGGGGGGTGTTTGAGGGGAGCTTGAGCAAGAGGTGACCTTTTGCAAAGGCCGTAGAGGTCTGGGAGGCCACGTCAAAGAGAGGCAAGAGAGTACGAAATGTTTGGTGATTACAGGCCGCCGGAGCATGGAAGCCCACTTTCGGCAGAGGAGGGACGTGGAAGGAAAAGGACCGGAGAGGGCGAATAAACTTACTTCTCCGCGCTGCCAAGCGAGTGGCGCGAAGCCGACGAGGTGAGGACAACGCGGTCGGCCGATCCAGAACCAGGCACCCGGCTGTCGCTGGGGAGGGACTCGCGCGTCCGCTGGGGGATGCGAGCCGGAGAGACACCCTGTCCACCATGGCTCATCGACTCTGAGGGGAGGTAGCATTCGTGCATGCCCTTTGCGCAATTCTTGCACGGCGCGCGGCCGTTCTCGTAGACACACTTTGTCTTGCCCTTGCGGCAGCGGACACAGGCACCGCCGGCGCGGAGGGCCGTGCTGCGGACGACGGAGGCCATCGTGAGTGCGGTGGTGAGCGACGTTCGGTGTCGAAAACCTGTCTAGAGATAATGGATATATGCCTGGTGGGAGGGAGCGAGGGAGTTGGAAAAGAGGAGAGGATGCTGAGCGGTGGAGATCCAAAAGTGGCAGATGGCAGTAGCTTGCGACGTGCCAAATACTGTACTGATTGTGAAGGTGAGGCCGGTTCTATGGTGGTGCGGACAGACGCCCGAGCTGACGACGCAAAGCAGCGTTGATGGACGGAGGAGAAAGAATGTGGTGAAGGGAAGAAACTGTCGGCGGGAGAGGAGAGGAGAAAACGAGGATGGAGAAGAAAAGAGCCGGGAGGGAATTCGGGCAGGAAAGAAGTGCGCGGATCAAATTAGGGGCCACAAGGTAACAGGTGGAGGAGAAAAAAAGGAAAGGGCCGGAAGAGGCGCGTGAGGGCAAGGGCGCAGAGGTGGCAAAGGAGCAGGAGCGCCGGACAAGGCAACGGAGGTTCGCGGCGGAGAGGCACACGCGCAATGCGCGGGTGGCAGCGAGCTTGGGCGCTATTTTGGGGGCTTGTGCAGGGCTTGGGCTCTTTGGCCGCCTGTGTTGGGTCAGCCCCAGGGCTGAGGTTCGGGGGTCAGACGAGAAACTACGCTTCGGCGTCGGTCGGGGCGCTATTTTTCTGGGGCGGCCCTTTTGGCCTGTGGCCCTTTTCCTCGTTTCTTTTTGCTTTTTTCTTTTTCTTGTTCTTTCTTCATTTCCCTCTTTTTCTCGGCTGTGGCCTGGAGCAATGTTATTTCGGGACTTGCTCTAAAAAAGCCACGGCCTGCCCGGGCCAGAGCGATCTTGACACAAGAGCACGCTGTAGGATGTACGAAAGATTGCATAAAGGAGGCAACGCACAGAAGGACAGCAGACACAACGACACGGCGCAATAGCGAGCACAAGCAAGAAAGGAGGCCCGAAGGACACTGAAGAGAATAAAAAAGAGCAAGGGGCGCCGATACTGCCTTACGTTTCGGGAGAGGGAAAGGGGGAAGCTGTGCAAAGGGGGCAGGGAGAGCAGGAGCGGGAGAGCGGTGGGCAACAGCGTGTCACGGTAGTGGAAGGCGCGGTGGGCGGTGGGCGGTGGGCGGTGGGCGGTGGGCGGATGACGGGATGGAAAATTTAGCCCCAGTCAGAAAGAAGGAGACGTGGACGGACGGTCGGGGCGGCGGCTACGAAGGGGGGCGTGGACGGTGCGCGACACACAAAAAAAGGGGGGTGTGCACTCAACGCCAACAACACCCGGCCGCAAATTGGGAACGAACACAGGATAACCAGAATGACGCCTAATAATACGATGTGGGAAACACTAAGCAGACGTGAAAAAATGATGGACGGAAGGCCCAAATAATTGAGAAACAACGAACACGGGCGGATCGGGTGATGATGCCGGGGGGCTCGAAGGGGAAGGGACGGACAACAGACAGCACCAAGCCAGGCGATCAAGGCAAGAACGAAAAGAGTGGGAAATTGAAAAGTGGGTCGACTTCTGTTTGCTGGCTAAAGCCTGGCGAGTTGGCTCCGGAGCACCAAGGTTTTTGCTGGCCTGCGTGCCGTCGCCACAAAGCACGGAGACCAGCGAGGGCGTGCGGACGGGATGCCTGCCTGCTTTTTTGGCGTTGTGCGCGACCAGGGCGACACAGGTTGTGCGGTGTTCGTACGCCCCGGCCACAGTCCACTGATTTCTGTACCTTGCCTCCTTTCACGTAGGACGAACTTTTGTCTGCATCGCGAGGAAGGAGGAGGAAGGAGCTTCTGACTTGCATCCCCCCTTACCCTGCATTGATGACGCTGACTGCCGGCTTCCACGGCGCAGCAATGTCGAGCCACAGCCCCGGCCTCCCGGCGAAGTACGACGTAGGCTCTAGGGTAGTAGCATTGTGAGATACAGAGACGCGATACACTACGTTTACAGAAGGGGCAAGGGGCCACAGAGCAGCCCGTCGCCTATGGAATCACGGCCGGGGCAGACTCTCGCCCATTGTGCGGGCTGGCGGCCTTCTGGCACCTTGCGCGACTTTTACGGCGCTTCTCTTGGCGCTCCCATTCCCAGAGGCCGCACTTCCCGTGGCATCAAGTGGCTAGCGCCGCAAAAGAGACATTTCCCCCGCTCCTTGCCCAACAAAATTCCAAGCCCTTTTCTCACCATGCAAAGAGAGCTTGGAGCGAAGCACAACTTTTGAAATGGCGCCGTCCTCGATTCCGGTATGCCTGACACACGACCGCCTGTGATTGCGTGTCATACTCGGTACATTGAAGAGTGGGAAAGCAAGGTACACGAGCGAAGTCACTGTGCATGGAAAATCTCAGCCCACCCCGGCCGTTCCAAGACCAGTCCTAGCCAAACACGGTTGGTTTGACCTTCCCAGAGACACAACTGGCCGGGCGGCAGGATGGTGTCCCGGCCGCAGTCCAGACGCGTAAATTGCAATTTGCAGGGCGGAAAACTTTGGCGGCAGGTTGCACCCAACAACGCCTTTTTCGCTGCTCATATTTGAATCACTGTTGGGATTACGGAGGTCGTCCAGCACTTTAGAGTGCACGATTTATCGTATCTTCTCTTGCACAAGGTGGCCATTTGGGAAGAGATGAGAAAACCACAAGCCCATGGAAAGCTAGGGAGAGCGTGACGACAACCGGACTACGGAGTACTAACGAAAAGATCGGGCGACCTGTCGAGTGACACATGGGCTCGCTTGGCTCTCAAAGTCTTGGCTCAGACCGAATGTCACGAGCAACCGGGAATCATAATTTGCGTCGCCTCTACTTGGTCGCCTTGGTATTTTCTATTTCCTGATCATTTTTCTACTTTTCCCCCTTTTCTTTCTCTTTTCTCCTTTGCATCCTTTTCTCCCAAAGATGCTGCTGCCCTTGAACTCGTCCGGACCACGTCGTCGCGAAGTTGGTCTTGTCGCTGTGTCCATCTGCTCCTCAGTGCCTCGTAGGGGCGATATGTTTTGCCACCAGTCGTTTGTCTCTGAAGAAGGGGGGTGTCGAGTCTCAGTAACCGTCGGCCGCTCAGGTATCAAGTGTTTTGCGTGCTGATCGGGGCTATGCGCCGAGCAAATCAGGTCTTGGCTGCTAGCTCAAGGTTGTGTTTGTCGACTCCGCTCCGTGACGGCGAGCCTGCACACGTAAGATGCCTTGCTTCGGAGTGAGACTATCCATGCGCACGTCGCCCGAGATCTTGCAGAGTTTTGGAATCGCCAACTCACCCGTGGGTTTCCAGTGCTTCCGTGTCCTCTTCCCGCATTATACTTACCTTGTTTTCCTTATTGCTTCAATTTCTCACATCTTGGGCACTTCCCATGAAACGGCCTACTTATTCGGCAGTTACAGGTCACGGTATCGAACAAATGGAAGGCACGTGAAGGTGCTCGGTAGCGGACCGGACTGGCTTTCGCACACTAGGGGGGCCGTTCTTGCCCTTCCTGCGGCCTAGGCACCTCTTTCTCTTCCAACAGTCGTGCCACTGCCCCAAGCCCGACCGGGACGCACAATTTAGCTGGAAGATTGCCCCACTTGCTTCCGTGCCCAAAACCAGTTCCCCCAAAGATGGCGCCGTGTTTTTTCATGTCTCGCCCAGTGCTTCGTGTGGGTGCCTTCCGTGTACCTTCCGTCCTTGCTTAACATGAGCGTTTCTTCATCGTTCCTTCTATTTTACTTTTACAAAGAGCCACGAACATGTTTACAGGAAAGAAAGAGCAACCGGCAATACGTCGTATTTGGTTCTCTTTTGTCACCGGCTTTCCCCTTTTCACAAATCACTCGTAAACGCTCGCCTCGCAAGCTGGCCGGCACATTAAGACTACACCTACTTCCGGGGGCGACCCTCCCTTCTACCCCCGGTCAAACGACCTTGTCAAACCGCCATACTCATCAAATTATCCAACCACCCGATCCCTGAAAGACGGTACACGGTAGAACAAACATGAAAGGGCGCAAGAAAGAGCAGAAAGAAAATGAACAGATCCCGGAACGGTTGGGCGACGAGAAAGGAATAGGGGCCAAGAAAAATGAGAGGGCGGTTTGAAGCACTTCTCTCATGTCCAATTGGGGCAGCCCCGTTGCGCCGTGTCTCACGTTTCAGACCGCCTCCGACGGCTCAGACTTTGGCCCCAACAAGTGTCGCATGAGATGTGTTATGCACAATGGACCGGGCGCAGCGCTGGATACTCCTGCTGGCCTTCGGCCGTGCTCGGCCAGCCTCAATACGGCAACTGGCAAGCAAACCCCAAACCGGCTGGCGAAGTGCATGCTTCGAATCGGCTCTTCGGGTCTCTTTACAGGCCTGTGCATCGCATTCGGCCTCCCTCTCTCGATGGTTTTTTGTCTTTACCTACTAGCTCTTGTCCAGCCTCTGTGTTTGCTTCCTCGCCGCCGGCTAAATCAAAATCAAGATCAAGCTGCGAAATCGACATTCGCTCAGGAGAACGGACGGGCGGCTTGTCTCACTTCCGGCCTCTTACGTGGCGGAGACTCAGCACCACATACCTACGAGGTATTGCTACACAGTACACAGCTTGTTTCCCGTCGATCCTAGGTATGGATGTCGCCTGGCCCTCTTCTTTCCCTTTGATTATTTTGTCTCTTCATTTTGTCGGGGTCTGGGCCATTTTAATCACCAGCGCACCGACAGAGTGGCAATGTGGGTTCATGCGGCCCCATTTCTTCTCGGCAAAGCGCGTCGTAATTTACGCGCACGACGCAACGGAGCGAGGCGGACAGGGCCCCGTTTCCCTACGACTCTGTATTACGGTGCCCATTTCAGGCTTCAAGAAAGTACAGCCCTAAAAGGAAAGGAGAATGGGCAGAGCACTCCTAAACGCTACAGAGGCCGCTGGTTTGGCCATTTACCACCGTGACCGGGAGGGGGGGGGGGGGGGACGTCGACCCCGGTGTTCCGATGCGCCAGCGGTGCGCTGTCAGATTTTCAACACGCAAGTACAAGGACACACACGGAGCACTGCAATCACCAAAC